CATTATCGAGGCAATAAGCCAAAGCCCATAGGTCGACAGCATAGAAACGATGAGTGAATAGAAAACCTTATTCTTGAATATATCGCTGATGTCGAACCCCTTTCCCCCAGCGATACTCTTCTGCACTTCAGTTTGAACCGCAATTACGGTGATGTAAACAGCCGCAAAGGTTAGGTATCTATATCGACGGTTAATAATTTAAGTTAAAGGGGAACAATGGGGTTAAACTTACATCATGATCACACACCAGAAGATAACCATGGCTGTGTATAGCTTACCAGAACCTGACGGGCGATTACCCATAGAGAGAACGAAGCAGGCCATCAATGAGATACCGTAAAACCATTCGAAAATGACGCCCAGAATCTCGCCGGCCTGGCCTAGCAGTTTATCATCTCCAAGACTTGTAGTTAATATCTTGAAAACTAGGAAGAAATTTCCAATAGCAAACCAGGCGAATATCATGTTGAAAGTCTGGAAGACGAACTCCAGGAAGAACATTAGCTTGCGGAGAATGGAGTGGTCCGAACGGAAGAACTGGTAGAAGTGTGCAATGGCGTAAATGGCAGCGAAGAAGGAGCCGTTCAGCCATCGTCGACGCTGTAGAATGAGCTCGGTCACAGTGTCGGGGACATCCGTTTCTCCTGTTGCCGATTTCACATATTGCAGGATCCAGTGGCAGTTACGCTTGGTAACAAGTTCAAAGCAGAGAATACGATCTTCGGCCAGATACATGTTGGCGGTAAAAACACCAGCACCAGCACCATGGAGCGTTTCGCCCTTGAAATATTTCTCCAAAGGCCCCAAACCGTTCTTGTCGTTTTGCAAAGCAACATATCGATATGCCGAGAAGGCACCGGGTAAAACAGAAATAAAGCCGAATGCTGATTCCAGAGGTTTATCAAGGATATTGCTCATCTTGTATTCGAAATTCTGGGTCGCAACGAGAGGGTTAAGCAATTCCTTTCCACCTCTACCCAACATTGCTTTGATCTCACCACAGGCGCCGGCGCACATAGGCTCCAGGTCGAACGCCTTCCAGAGATGGTAAATAGAATTTCCACCCGGTTTAGTACCCGCATCAATCAGTACGCAAATGTTGGGGTCTAAAACACGGCCAAATGCCTGGAAGAACCATCGGTGGGAGTTGATTTTCTTCTGATTCTTCTCCTTCAAGCAGAAAAGCATTTGTACGGGCTGCTTCTTGGGGATGAGTTGTACCACGTCGTTCTTGATTTGCATACCAACTTGGGTTGTGTACTCGTAGATATGCGCAGTGACATCCTTCCCGTTAACCTGCTGCTTGGCAATACCCTCTTGATACACACCCATACCGGAAAGAAGCGCTCTCGTCCGCGGATTGATCTTGGCACGTCCGTCACTCACCACGCATACCACGATCTTCTTCCAAGCGTCTGGGCCCCACGTCTTGCTTTCCTTCCGGCTACACATGTACTCGACGTTCTTCAAAACACCAATCATGGTCCGGGCGAAGAGAATATCGTCTTCGTTGTACATAGTAACGACGATAAAAAGCTCAGTGTGTCGCGGTTTGCTAAAGAGCTTCTGGCGCAAAGTGAAATTTTCATTATAGAAATCATTCGGGTCGCAAGTAGCGGCGGAGTATCGCATGTGGGTAAATTCGTCACGTTCACCATGGGGAAGCTGGTTTAGCAGTCGAGGGGGTACTGGGCAATCAAGAACCAAGTTACCACGGTATAGGAGCACCTGCTTCACCGTCTTCCACCTCTTAATTCCCGCACCCTGCTGCTGTTGACGATTTGGGTCATCAGCATATGGCTCTTGCGGTTGAGGCTGCGCGTAGGGGTCGTTCTGGGCTAACATTGGGTGCTGGTCATCATAGTCGTATCCATGCTGATCGGCGAAAGGTGTTGTGGATGTAGGCGGTTCATAAGGTTGGTTATAATAAGCTTCATGGTGCTGTTCGGGATTGACAGAGAATTCGGAAGGGTACCCGCCCTGACTATGTCCATAGGGGCCTTGAGAGAGGTTATCCATAGAGTGCGCAGCATTTAACGGGAGACGATCGCTCGGCGTAAATCTTCCTGGGCCAGCAGGTATATCAAGATTACTTGCAGGTGCAGGGTGAGTACCATAAGGTACATCGTCGAGCTGATACCCGTGCTGGAGAGGGTGACCCGGCGAGGGCGTACGACCTATTCTGTGATTATCCATAGTAGGATCGTAGTAATCGTCGTCTAGAGAAAGGATGACTCGTCAGAACAATAGGCTTTCAAGGTTATTATTTAGGTCGGAATTGGTATATGTATCGGAGTACACGTAGAGCGCTTCAAGCTACATGTGCCGCCTGCGTCACGGAGGTTTGCGTCACTTATGGCTTGGAGGAACAAAGCAGTGACAGGACATGTTCCACACACAATAGGGTATCAAGAATATTAAGGTGAAATGTACGGGAAATGATAATGAATACGTAACGAAAGACTTTCGTTGAACAGCCCAGCTGAGTGGCAGTGAAAGAGAGGCGAAAGACAAGATGGGAAGATTCCAAGAGCAGGTTGAGGAAAGGTTAAGTCATGATACATACCTAAGCGATTATACGACATGGTTTATGTATGTGTTATCCCCTACGGGAAGGGTGGGCGCTTCAAGCGGTTAAGTTATAAGGGGGTGCGGTAGAAGTGCGTGAGACTTTGGCTATACGCGACTGCGATCGCAACGAGAGACTCCCGAGCCAGTGACTGGAATGTGCCAATGTGGTGGCATGTACGTGGAATGGGTCTAAATGGAGACTCGATTCGTCCTCGGTAGATTCGAGCGACCCTTAACCCTGAAATTGGGTTATTTGCGAGTGGGTTTTACCAGGTATAAAACACCCGTTATAATAATTGACTTTGTACGAGACCTTGACAACAAAGGGTTGCGGCTATCCAGCAGTATGTTGCGAATTTACTCGAGAAGTCACCGAAGAGTGCTGGTTTGTTATTTCTCTCCTAGGTAAGTAGCTAGAAGAAAAAAAGAAGGTGAGGTTAAGGAACTCAAGGGGTATCAACTGATTGAGCTTAGAAATTTGCAAAGAAAGTAGTCGAGAGCGGAAGAGAGAATTAGATTTCCCGGCGAAGAGTTTCACCAGGCAGAAGATTTGCGACAATGTTGACTGGGTAGCGACGATTGGGGGGAGCATCAACTTAATTGTCAAGGACCCAAGTCACTTAAGAGCAGCTGATAATCCTGTTTCAGATCAACTAAGCGGGCGCAGCAACGAATTACAGGCCACTAAACCAAATATTAACCCTGCAGCTGCCCTGTAAAAGATGCCGGTACTATGGTACTACGGTACAAAAGGTACGAAGGATACATGGGTGCCAAACAAACACTAACCTTTTTCCCCTCTCCACCCCGGTCGGCCCAGCAGCCGTCTGATCTTGCCCTACTTGTGCCCACTTGTAGCACGTTTCCAAGTGACGTCGTTTGCTTTCAAGTACCTATGTACCTAGGTAGGTATTGCATCCTTAAATCCCTTCATTACACATATTGAAGGCATCGTCACTCATCCTGCATTTAAGGCGCAACTCTTAAATAATCATAACTATAACCCAATTTATCCAACCTATCCAACCTATCCAAACTATCCAACCAAATTATAAAATCAAAAAAGAAAAAGTTGTTTATAACAACGGGTAAAGCCGCAAGAACGCGCAAAGCGATGTCGCGTAAAAAAATGCCAAGCAGCTAACCTAGGTTTCTCCAGAATCTTGCTGCACGACCAAAAATAGAAACCCGATCGAGTCCGAACTTGACAAAAGCTGGTTGCCACAATCTTTCTCAGCCACAATCGAGCTGACGACTGCGGCTACGACGACGAAGAATATATTTACAATTGCCCGAGGGGGGAGGAAAGAGGATATGGTTCGTCTAAGCCACTGGTTAATGGCTCAAGCTTGCACGCCTCGGATATGCACATGCTCATGTCGTGTAGCATACGCGGGTATGTATAACCCAATGAATGCGCCAAAGCAGGTACCTAGTTGGTGGCTGTGGCCTTGGTATGCATCCGGATCGATGCCAGTTGTTCCTGTGCGCCCAAGACAAGTTGTTTGCACAGCAGTTAGGCCAATCGCTATTTGACTTGGTTAACGCTCGAACGGATATGCATGTAATCCCCCACCATCGTCGGTTCTCTTTCGTCGGTTATGTCAGAACTCTTCCACCAATAAATAATTGTCGCATATAATAAGTAATGACATTTTATGACATTACAAGTTACCTTTTGGTCAAGTGGATAATCTGACAATAATATACCTACCTACCTGACATCCAAGTAATATAATAAACTTGAGAGGTCGAGTTGGCTACCTAGGTAGCTTATAGCCAACGGACGTGAACAATAGACACACGCCCGATAATGCGACAGGACGAATTATTTTATTAACCCAACCTAGATGTTTGCCTATAGTAAGTTTGCCCATAGTAACACCTAGCTGCCTAATCTCAAAGATGTTCCGGGGAGCATATTATATAACTACGGTATGGGGCGTGGCTATGCAATCGAATAAGATACCTCTTATGCACATATTAATCCTTCCATTGGGCATGAATCATGAATCAACTCCGCATGACACTCACCATTGAAATATCAAATAGCATTGATTACCTATTCTAAGATATAATGGTCGGCGTAGAACAGAACTTGATAGTCCATATCTAGGTACCTACCTAGATAGCTTAAATAGCTCACGTATACCAGATGTACGGTAGGATTTAGAGGAACCTCAAGCTTAATCTGTGATTTAAATCTATGGCCTAATATTTTAGTATAATGATGTTTAGCGTAGTTAACTGGTAGATAGGTAAGCATGTTATCGTGACATTTAAAAATTGATTCTCAGGGGTATAGTACTATACTATTCCTCGCTGTCCAAATTATAAGCATAGGATCCGCGAAGAACTTAGGAGAGGCTAGCATCCGTATTGTCTTCTAAGATGAGTTAATCTACTACCAGCACTAGAGACACGTCAAAATGCTCGCTCCATTGACTAAGAAGCGCGAAGTCTGTGTTGAATTATTGCTGGTTATTTTTAAGAGATTAGTTCAATAGTGATTATATTATTATTATTAGAAATTCTTAAAGATGTGTTGAAAACTAAGAGTAGTCTGTAGAGTTTTACAGCGAAACTGTTTTACTCAAATTGCTAACTTTCCTTTTAGAACTAGTTAAAGGTGAACTAACTACACCCTAAGCTAACCCATAATCAATAGCTCAATGTATTCATCTTGTGTGATATCCTCGCTGTCCTCAAGCTAAGCGTTACCCTCGCGCCAGTGCCATCTCTTTCCCATGAACTCCTTATACCAGCCCACATGAACTTAACCTCCAATACCTCGGACGAGAATCGAGCGGTGTCTTTGCCCGGAGTGATTGGCTTCAAAGCCACGTCCAGATCCAGCGCCACCAATAAGACAGCACTGAGCCTTCTGACGCTAGGCTGGCGACGGACTCTGTGTCTTCAAGATGATAAATGCCCACTAGTCACAGAGTATGACAACCTTGTTAGTCGACACAGACAGCTATGCTCCGGGCTGTGGTCGGCTCTCGATTTTAAGCCACAGCCATTCTCGCTCTCCGGGGCTACTCTTGAAGACTCCACGAGACGGATAACAGGGATCAAGAGCATCTGCCGCTTCCGTACTGGCTCAAAGATGGCCAAAGAGAGCCGGAATTACTTGTCCAATCCACTTATACTGGAAACTTGAAGCTATGCGCGGAATGTGAATTTGGTTTGAAGATCTTATAGTTAATCTTATGCTCAATTGCAACTTTTTAGTTGTTATCCTTTTCTGCTCCGGTTGCTAAAAATAAAATCCCACATCAGCTACTAACCTAACCTAACCTAGGTAATTCCATAACAGCGTATTCTTTTCTTTTTATGGCTGTCATGTATGTATGGATCTTGGCAGACATGGTGCTTTTTCAGCTCCTTTCAGCCCCCAACTTCCCAATCTGGGTTAATAGTGCCTTGTCGATTTCATTTCCGATCAATTGGTTCATTGGCTTCTCACGTGGATCTGCTGGCGTAATATTACTTGAATTAGCTTTCGGCCCTTAAGAGGGGCTTCAAATCCAGCCTTGCACTTTGATCGACAGCATGTCTTTTCCTGAGCCGATATGGACCGCATGGTTTTTAGGCTACGGCAGCTGCCTCTTGATTTCGATAGGTTAGACACTGTCCGACTACTCAGCACGGCTTTAGGTGTTGAGACTTCCGTGATTCAGATTTTCTCCCTTGCCCGCTCCGTTGATCCATGGCTCCCTAGCAAAGTAGCCACCTTGATGTTCAACGATGCGGCTAGTGTGCAGAATATTCTTGAACACGGCGGGAACTCAACTGTTACGAAGCGGGATGACGAGTGGTGTATTGCTGCTGATAATATTCGCGACGGTTTAGTCTTGGATGCTCACTTTCGAGGCTTAACACCTTTATATGATCCAGACTCCCATGATGCCGAGTAAGATTTTCCCATTACTTAGATGTTTGAAATTTTGAAACTCATTTTATTAGTTGCATTGCAATATCAGGACTTGCGAGCCACCCATTCGGATCTTGGCAGCCGAAAGGGCGCTCAAAGTCGTTCATGTGGATTCGGGATGCATTGCCGCAGTCATTACGCAATGTACGGCCTATCCTGTACGGCTACGACACCACTCTTGTCGAGAGCCTTTCGTTCCAGACGATATTCGATCTGGCCTTGGGATTGATCAATCAACTCAAGGCTAACGGGTGGACATTGCCAACCTGTAAGCCTCTTGTCTTCCTCGCTCACAGCTTAGGAGGGATTGTTTTGAAGCAGGCATTCGTATCGCTTGCAAATAAGATTGAGCGTGATGACCCAATTCGACAGGCGATAAGAGGAGCTGTGTTTTTTGGCGTACCTAATCTAGGCATGGCGCAGTCACATCTTATGGCTGTCGTGGAAGGTCAAGCCAATATGCAACTTGTCGAAGACCTTTCGATTCAGTCCGACTATCTCCAGCATCTAGATCAACAATTTAGCGGCATCTCATATCTTCAAGATGCTTTGCTCTACTGGTGTTATGAGACAAAGAAGTCACCAACTGTCACCGTAAGAATGCTCGAGTCCTTGTTTAACCGTTCGCATGTTGACTCTTCGTAGCTGAACTCGAATAATATATGGTCAAGGACGGGGCCTAGAGAGATATTAGTTACTCCGGACTCTGCGACACGCGGGTTATATGGAGAAAACAGGCGGTCGGACTCAATATACCCGATTAACGAGGATCATTCGAATATGGTTAAATTCTCTGAGAATGACTCCAACTACTCGGTAGTAGTACAAAAGTTAGCCCAGATTCTTTTTTCGAAGAGCCCATCTCTGGTTAAAAGAAGCGGGAGAGATACGCTTATGCTCGAATCGAGCATAGTCCAAAGGATGATGAACCTTGCAGTATCCCCAGTCAGGGGTCCGAGTTACGAAGGTAAGTAAATCTCTGTCGTTATAAAGTGAGTCGCTGGCTTATTTCCAGCTAGCAATTCTGAGCTCGCTCTATGTGCCCGAAGGAGACCGCCGGGTTGAAGAAATTGAGGATAAGTTTGAGGATACATTTGACTGGATCTATGACCAGCCTGACTCAGGTTTTGGTGAATGGCTTCAGAGCGATACTGGCCTTTTCTGGATCAACGGGAAGCCGGGATCCGGGAAATCAACTTTGATGAAGTTCATATGTAGGGATCGGCGCACTTCAGATCTGCTTTCCGACTGGAAAGGAGAAAGCAGCTATATTAATGTGGCTTTCTTTTTCCACTATCGTGGAACCTCAGTACAAAAGTCCTTTGAAGGCCTCCTGAGAAACGTACTGTCCCAAATTATCAAGAAGAACCCCCAACTTGTCAGATTTCTTCAGTCCTTATTCGATCCCGCAGAGTCTCTGCACCCGAGAATGTGGACCCTGCCCATTCTTCAAAAAGGGTTTCATACCATAATAAGACAGAAGGAGGTGCCGTTGCATCTTTGCTTATTTCTAGACGCACTCGACGAATATGATGGAAGACTGGAGTTTATATGTCAATTTCTCTTGGAGCTAGGCAAAATCCCTCCTACGCAAACGAAAAGGATCAAAATCTGCTTCTCTAGCCGACCCTGGCAAATCTTTATCAATGCGTTCCAAGATTGCGCCGGGTTTCAGATCCATGATTTTACGCAAGAAGACATCAGGGATTACTGTCTTGGTTCTATCAGGGAAGAAAGCTTATCATCTGTCTTACTAGAGGATCTGGTTCCCGAAATCGTGACGCGTTCGAGGGGCGTTTTCCTATGGGTGAAGTTTGTCGTCAAAGATCTTGCCCAAGCTACGAGGTTCAATACACTGAACAAAATGGAGTTAGAGAGGCTATTGGCGTCTTATCCAGACGAGCTTAATGACTACTACGCCGAGATTATCGAACGAATTCCGCGGTCGCATAGATGGAAAACATATGCTATGCTTGAGGTTGCCGTACGATCTAAAGATTCATTGGAACCTGCAATATTTATATGGGCTGTCGAATGCTCAGAATCTAAGACCATCCAGGACGGCCGTAGAGTTCTCTCAAACCTACACGAGATAAATAGTAGTAACCTTAAGAATTGGACCATGAAAGAATCAAGAAAGTATTGTGGCGGATTGATCGAAGTTGTTGAAGGAGCTTCAGGCGAATACGTCCAGGTTCTCCACCAAACCGTAGAAGACTTCGTAACTGACCCAAGATTTAAGCAGCTCGTCCTAGGGAACTTGGCCAGAATTACGATCGAGAATGGCAATAACTTTCTAGCCAAATGTTATTTTCTCATTTACGAGACTAAGGGGGATCCATTCCTTCAACACATCCATGTTATGACGGCCGCGGTTACTCGGAGGCAGATTAAGCAAGCCCTCATCAATGGAACCTACGCGCGTGCTGCTGAACAGGTTAGCGGTCGTAGTATGAAAGTGTTTCTCAATGGTGTTTCGGAAAAAGTCTTCAGGAAAATATACTTAGAGTCTGAATTAAAGATAGAGACGCCACTCGAGTATGCCGCATCAACTGGGCTCCGCTTATACCTTTTCGAATCTCTTTTGGACCATCCCGACCTTCTGCGAACTTCTAAACATTTATTGCTGAGCAGTGTTATCAGATCAACGGCCGACACTACGGATGAAGAAATCAAGCAAACGGTTAAGCTACTGTTGGAGAATGGGTTCACACCACACCAAGATCCAATGGCCTTTGGCCTTTGCGCCATGAAGATGCTCCGGGGTGATGGACTATACAGAGCAGTCGATGACGACCTAAATTCACTTTTGCGATCTCGTCATGTCGACATAATCGAGCTCCTGCTCGATCATGGCCAAGAGCCCTACGTAAACATCCCTACTATTTACCGTAAGAAGAATGTTCGGAGCACGCTTTTGCATGTAGGCCCGTTCCCAGTAGTAAAATTACTCCTGGACAAAGGTGCATTCGTGGATCCGTTGGATTCCCTTGGAATGACACCTCTGGATCACTTCTGCGTAAGGAATTCACTGAGGGCACCAACCTGGTTTCAAGCATATGAGCACTATCAGCGACAACACTGGGAGCTTTATAAATTGACTTGCCTCATAACATCTCGTGGTGGGACAATAAAGAATGCAAGCGCGGAGTCTTGGGAGCAGCTTTTGAGCGGATTCTCAGAATCAGGATTTCCTACCGAGGAAGTACGAAAATATATGGCCACTATACTTAAGCGGCTATCGGAGGAATCACCAAGACAGTCATTGGTTCAACGGAGTATCATTTCAGACGACGGAGACGAAGAATATCAGGGAACGTTGGTTATACAGCCCGAAGTCCAATCCAAATCCCAAGAAGAAGTCGTTCGCAGGACTCTGATGGAACGGCAGGTTCGAAGCACACCAGAACCGACCCCCAGTGTGCAATCTCAGGAGAATCAACCCACCGTTTTGGACCAGCCACCGGAACATCTTCCGGAGCCCGGGTTCCGACAGTCACTGCGACAGTCACAACAGCTGCCCTCAAAGCGGTCGTTCAGGTTAAAGATCAAGAATTTAATTTATCGCCTGATCCGATAGGATCCCATGTTGTCGATACTAGCTTTTCTATAAAGGCGATCATTTTGGATGGGTTTGGGCAATCATGACAATCATCCCGTTGTGTTGGCCCCCTTTACATAATACCTTAAGTATATGTCACTACATGTATATACCCCTTGTATGGCCTATTAACCGCACTTCAAAAGGATAACGGAGAAATTTTATTGGATAAATGAATGTATAGTAAGGGATCTACATAACTATGGGAGGAAATATTGAACTTAAAGAGGGACTAAGATACATAATTTGACCACCTTTAGGAGCGTGAGGAAAAGTTCTCATGAAGAAGGAATATTCAAACTTCCGATTTACCAATATCTGTGTACCAATCTTAACCCCCCCCCCCCCCCCCCCTTCCTGATGCCGAGCCTTAAGTCCTGCGTATACTAGTCATAACATGGACCGTCCGTGTACCCCTCAACTCGTAGCTAACCAGGCCTGCGTCAAAGCGGGAACGGACCAAAGTCGAGTAAATCCTGCATAGATGCACCCCCCTGGTAAATATTAGAAGGGAGCGGAGGCACAAAAGGCGAGGCAACGCCTCCGTTCATAGTGGACGTGGTACGGTTGTTGAGCTGGAAAGCTCCATTTGGAGGTTGAACCTGCCTCTGAACACAGTAGGACGGCGGAGGCGGAGGTGGAGCAGGCATAGGAGTGGATATAGGTCGCGTAGCCGGAACGGATTGCTGAGTCTGGGATGAGAACCGAGGCTGAGGTGGGAACTGGGGCGGCAAGGTGGTTTTGAACTGAGGGCTTTGAAGTGCAACGGGGGGGCTGCCAATATGAAATGCTGAAGTCTGGCTGGAATTGGGAGCAGGAGTCGAATTACCGAGGTTGTAATTCGGAATAGCGCCTATATTCCCAGGTTGAAAAGATGTGGGATTTCCGGGCAGAGGATTGATAGCGTTCAGCATCGAGTTAGATGTATTCGTCTGTAGCGTTAAATTGATACCCTCCAGACGCAACATCTCATCATGTACGCTAGATAAATGATTTTGGAGGTCTCCAAGTCTTTTGAACCATACAGAGGAGCACCAGGGGCACCCTAAGCTGGGTACACCATATGGCATCTTCATTTTTATCGCAATGTAAGGCTCGATTAACGAGGTATGGGATGTGTTCGACGCCATACTTAGGTTGATTCAAGCTAATGTCGTGGAAGTAAAAGTGAGAATGAAGCAAGTTTGAGTCGTTTCTCCTTATGGTCTGGAGCTCCTCCCTTCATCGATTTCGAGGACGGCGCCGTTCAAGTCTTATAGGAATCCCTTCTCATCCCTAATGTATGCTGAAATCAACTTGTTACTTTAGAGTAGGATACTAATCTCTCACCGAAGACTTCATCATCACGAGAGAGCTTCAAAGAGCATAATGAGAATATAAGAACATATGAGTTACAGTAATTTGGTGTTTCGTCCATTGCGGCGAACATCGCTAGTTGAGTCTCCTCAGACCGAACAGAATGGTAGAGTTTGTCCAGATATGGGAAAGCCACTTGTAGAAGTCGACCAAAATATAAGGTATGATCTTTGGACGCGAATTGACCGAACATTAAGTAGGTCTTCATTTAGGCATATGATAATATCCAATGTATAGGTTGATACATTTAGGGATAGCGCATGTGGTCTTGGGAAATATCAATTGCTGTCATATGAGGCAAGTTATTAGCACAATTGGGGTATTTCGACTAAATAGGCCAAACCCAGGTTTTATAGCCACACACGAGAAGATAGGTGAGACCTGCCAGGCCACTTTCAAATGCGTCACATATGTAGAGACTTTGAGTTTTGGATACGGGATGATAGCTTCAATTAAAGGGCAATGTAAATACAGGTAAATGTATGAACCGAATACCGAGCAATTCGAATGCTTCAATGAATTCGACATCCCGAACCATAACTATCCCCCCTCACAGTAGGTAATGTGCCAAACTTCAGAATTCATACTGTCGTCTTAACATTTATTCTGTCGTAAGCATCGAAACACGGCAATAACAACGGTTGAATGCCTACCAAAAGGATTCCAGCACCTAGTATGACGTCGATTACTAGCTTTCTCGCTCTATGATCGGTGAAGAGGTACACCGGCTGGGATTTATGTTCTAACTCAACCAAGTTAGTTTTTTGGGTAAGAGGCGATGAATTATCGTGAGGCTGTGCCCAGGAGCACGAGACATGTTTAGCTGAGGCTCTCTTTTTAACTGAAGCGGGCATAGGGTGGAAGCCACAAGGCAGTAAGCTATCCAGTTGGATCCAATTGATAAAGAATTGTGTGTCGCTGATTAATAGTTAGAAAGTTGCCGAAATAGAAGGCTACTTAACGCCCGTATGTGGTAGGACACCCCTGAATGATCGGGGCTATGTATTATGGCACGTTTCCGAGGGGTTTGGATGACTACATTGACTATTATCCGCTCGCCTGCTTGAGCCGTGCGTGGGGTCCTCATCTTGTAATGGCAACGCGGGGAGATCGCGCTCAGCGTCATAGAGAGCAGGGAAGTTCATGGTTTCGTCAGATAATATCTCTGTAAAATAGAGATAGTTTTGGTATGTTTGGTCGTTTATCTATTAGTTACGCAAGATTAAAACCTCAACATATTTTTATTATGAAACTATCACTTACATTAATTTCGGTATTAAAGACATCTTCTGGATTAAAAAGATCGGTCACACAATTATGCGGGACCGGAGGCGGCGGGGGTTTATCATCTCGGTCCTCCGAGAGCTGTGGTCTTTCCGTCCGAGACAACGCCGATAAGCATGGAATAGGTGAGAAATTGCAATTGTATAATGTGCTAGTCTTTGAGCTATCTTGCGAATTCTATACTTATTATAGTCGTTAGTTAGTATCTATCTTAGGTAGTTCAGGGTAACGCGCATGGAGAAATTGTGCAAGCAACTGACCTGCATCTGATTCGTGCTCTCTTCTGCGAGCTTTGCAGCATCAATAACACGCTGGATTGCCACATCATCGAAGCCTTGGTCATGTAATAGAGTTCGGAGCACTCGGTTCTCTTCTTGAATCCTCCGTGCTTCCTTTTGCATCTCAATGGTGGCTTGAGCCCCTAACCGCATGCATTCATTCCATTGCTTTTCGAGATTTTGGATATAGGCCTGCTTCCTTGCTCTCGAGTTTCGCTGGTTGCGACGCAGACGCGCGCGCTGACCGCACGAGTTAGCATATAGAAAACAACTTTTGATACTACCAGAATATATTTCGGGATTCTTATCGTAACTAACCTCCGCTTCTACACAAGCAGCGTCTGATTGTTCCATAATAAATGTTTTACTCAAGATTCGTTGTGAATCGTGATTATGGCCGTAAATGAAATTCGTTAATTGTTACGGTTCACGTATTTTAGCGTTTAACATAGTGGCAAGGGTTAACGTTCATGCACCACAGTATAAATACTGTACACAGTTGATGATATAGCATAAATCAATATGAATTCATATACTACACGTCACCGGCATACACAAATAACTCGTTGAAAATAGAAGTTGATTTTAGGTCATCTGTACTGCGCAACAAATTATTTTAGAAAATACACCATTTAAGCCTGATATAACATTATCCTATACAAATGGTAATTTGAAGAATAAGAGATGTTGTATTGTTAAAAGACCTTCATAAGTGTGCCGTTTTTATTCCTAATTCGCTCTATCCAAAGCAGAAATGGATTTCTCGAGGTTGAGATGGTCCTAGATAGGTATATGCTCCACCAGGAGCAACTCCGATATGGTCGTCCGTCTAGATCATTCTCCGATGACAATTACGTATTATTGGGTATTTCTCCACAGGCGTATCCGGCAAGTTGGCCTTCTTGACTTCCGTCAGACGCTTCGTCTGAGAGCTAGGTAATGTAGCTAGTGAAATGTCTCGGCTTAGGCTTTATGATGCATATTCCGTGCCGGTGGTGACATGTGATATAAGGCGGCGCTGATGCCCGTATTTAAGAAGGTCGTTGTAAGTCGTTATAAAAGGGCCTAGTCTATAAGCTAGAATAAGTTACTGAATCTGCTACTGATAACCGTAGCAAATCCACGCTGGCTTTGATCAAGGTGAACTACCAGTCACCTAGACTATAGTATCTTTTCATGACTTCCCCTTTGGCATCGTCAGTTGCCTTGGTCCTTGCACCCGGTGTGTCTTTTGGAACTATTTGGATTGCCGGGAATTCTGTTAATAACCTGTGGAACTCCGCTTCTAAATTGACGTTAGAAATAGTTACCATAAAGTACAAGTTGTTACTTACCAGGTAGTTCTTCGTCAAATTTCTCCACGGCCTCTAAGAGAATATCTCCAATTCCCTGAGTTACTTCTCGCTGCCCAATAATTCCGTAGTCGGCGCGAAGAATCGACTCCTCTACCTTATTTCGATCAGATATGAGCCACAATACACGCAGCTCATGTCCCTCGCAGCGATCGTCTCTAAAATAATGGTCGGTGTGTACCTGCCGTGCGCCAATCGCGACAGAGAGGAGATAGTGGGCTTCGGCAAGCTTGTTGATATCGTCCGACTCTAGCTCTTTGTATTGATACCATCCATACTTGCGTTCAACAAACTTATAGAAATAGTATAGAGCCCTCTCTTGGATGTGATGCTTGTTGCAATAGCAGGAATGGTATCTTGGTAGTGAACACTGCACCCCATCGCGATAAGCCTACGATTTTGTAAGTAAAGAACTCTAGTGGCGTGATTTACATGAATTAGGTAAATACTTACATCGCAAGACATGGCTTATAGATTAGAGTCTTGCGTAGCTTAAGTGCCTTATATTATGGCCAAAAGAAGCTGTCTTGGGGGCGTTTGGTTATCGTCCTTGTTGATATTGCCGGGGTAATTGAAGATGAAAGTAATGTAAGTAATGTAGAGTATCGTCGATTTATATTTTATACAATCGAAATTCCGGTGAACTTGCTTGACTAAGGTCCGTATTAAATGCAACTATTCAACATATCGTAGGTAGGATAATGTTACTCACATTCTTTCGAAGACTTAGCTGTAAAAATAAAATGTGAATAGGTAAATGATATACCACGGGTCGAAGACTCGAGGATATGTATTTATAGGATTCATATTGAATGCTGCTATTGCGTAACCCTAACCTACGCACGTTTGTATTGCCATGGTGGTCGTATAGTTTCGTCATCATGTTGTATATGCTTAGGTATGTATCACTGTAAAAAGTACCTAGTGCTGATCTTCAGGCTTTCGATGTATCCGCTCGATTGATTGGGTACGGTTTTTCTTTTTTTGATCATGTTCTGTCGCCATTCGTTGCCACGCTCAGAGATATGCTTCACGTATTCATCGATATTGATGTGGTCTGTTGGTGGTGAAACCATGATACGGAGGTCGGAGTCCAAGCTTCGGTATATTTGCTCCATTTGTTGAGTCTTATCGTTCATGCGTAATGCCCGGCATGTACGCATTAGTTCCATCGCCCACGTCTGGATCGATTTGCCTGCGAGGCAATTGGTCTCCGTGTACTGAGCGGTTCGAAGCTTTTGAGGTAGGATAAGAATAGGATTTATGTTTATGTTTTTGTTAATGTTAATGTTAAATTGTCGGGAAGTATTGACAATATGCTTGTGTGATCTGTGTATGTAAGAGATGGGAAGTTTAGTAATAGAAAGAGTGAAGATATTTTAAATCTTGAGTCAAGTTTAGCTCCGCTAAGCCCAATTCCCGTGACGACACAACAAAGTTCAGTGCGTAGAGACACCTGATACCGGTTGCTAGGGAATGATATACCGAGGTTGATATTTAAGTTAGGATGTTGCCACTCCATACATTTTATAATATACCTTTAACGTGTTGGGACAAAAGATAAAGCGTAAGGCGCCCCTTACACAAGCATTATAGAGACTTTATGCTAATATATAAATGAAGTATATAATAATAGAATTGACCCTATTTGGTGGAGTTTATCGCACAAAGCTATGCAGCAAACGGTTAGGGACTTATAATCAGCGTTTCCAACACAATAAATAAACCCAGAAAAAAAGCCTTTAGAAGTTTATTTACTTGACAATGTTCATACTTTTGTTTAACTTAATTATCCAGTATGAATGACCTCGAGGGCGTTAGGTTTAAACTAGAAACGTGGATTCTACGGGCTAATAATACAAGGGCTGACCACTAGGATATATAGGTACTTCTGAAAGTAGGCTTTGCAGGAGTCTGAATAGTCTCATATTTTTAGGGTCCGCTCAAAAAAAGAAAATTTCTACTTTTGATTAGCCAAAAGCTACAGTTTGCGCACGAAAATAAAACTCGTTCTTTGATTTTGTCTGTTTTGTTGAAAACGCTGCTCATAATATTGCTTATACCTGATAAAAATTAGCTAACTAGTGAGATTTTGTCACAATAGAAAAAGCTAATCAGCTGTGACAGTTACTTGTTATACTTCGTACGGGAACAAAATAGGTTATTATATTTATATGTCTACAAGCTCTCGCTTTCCCACCTATCAAACACTCAAAACGCTTGATTGCGGTATTGGGAAGGGAAACATATATGTTTATTTCTTTGAATATTATTACTTAATTATCTATTAACCAGAGTTTCTCATTAGACTTCTTTTCTGGCATTAGAATCGTCAATCTACTGGTTATCCAGTCATTCGGTGTCTCATCCTGTCTTCCCACACCGATCCGCGTATCCTAGCCCATGTCCAAATTTGAACACCGGGTCTCTGGTATCGAATGGCACATCTTCCATATTCGCTTCGACAGCTGCATCCGAACGCGGTAAGTCATACGGCAATTTGCCTTCAGGCTCAGCAACACCGAATATGATATCAAGGAACGCCTCAGGGCTAGTTCCAAAGCTAGCGAGCATTGCCACCGATTGATCTGCAACTTCAGGCACTGCGGCCGGTCGATCTAACATCATGTCGACAATAGTCGGCACTGTCGAGTAAATAGCCTCTTGGCGCGCCCGTTCTTCGGCCGAGAACTCAAGGGATCCGGCGTGGTATCCAGCCTCGAACCCTCCCGGTCGTGGCTGGTAAGGAGCTGCTAACCGTAGAAGAGCGTAATCAGCATCCTCGGGTTTATCCACTACCGTATAAGTACGATTTTGTAGAAAAGTCGCATTGAAACCTTCAATATAGAATTTAGTCTCCGGCCCAGCGTTACGGAGTGGTAAAGTCTCGTTCTTGTTGGTAAGCAACGTATACGAGCGACGTTGGGCCTCATTGCCTAAGCGCGTGAAATAATCATTCCCAACAATTCGAACGGCAGCATCCGGGTCGACGAATGGGTTATCAAAAAGTCCTAGGATAAACTTTTCGCGTAGCAGCTTTCGCACAGAGACGTCGAGACGTTCTTCGCTTATTACGCCCTCGCGGACCAACTGCACGATCAGCTCAGGCCGGGTTTCGCCGCCGAATTGGTCGCACCCAGCTTGGAGAATGCGCGTTGCTCGCTCTAGCTCTGATAAACCCTCTACTCCCCATGCTCGAGCAGGCATGTATTGGCCAGCGATGTATGTATCAGTAATCAAACCCCAGTCGGTTAGCACAACGCCCTCGAATCCGAGCTCGTTACGCAGAAGGTCTGTGACAATCTCCTTGTTAAACGAAAACCCCACAGGCTCGTACTGAGTGCCAATCGGACGGCTATAGTACGGCATCATCTGGCGGGCGCCCGCAGCAATAGCTGCCTTGAAAGGGATAAGATGGTGCTCCATGTTATTCCCAGGGTAAGTCTCGTTCTTGCCGTAGGTGAAATGGCTGTCTTCACCGTTTTGCATCGGACCTCCGCCAGGGAAATGCTTCGTCACGGTACTCACGGAAGTGGGACCGAACTTTTCGCCTTGGAAGCCTTTGATATATGCCGTAAGGAGTTGAGAGGTTAGGTTTGAATCTTCGCCAAATGTGCCAGAGATTCGTGCCCACCGCGGCTCCGTCGACAGGTCCACTTGCGGGTGAAGCGCAGCACGTAGGCCAACAGCCATATATTCTTCGCGAGCGATCTCAGCGAATTTCCGAACCAAATCGACATCTCGAATTGCAGCGAGTCCGAGAGTCTCGGGCCACTGAGAGAAGCGACCTGCTTTGAAGCCAGTTCCGATATTCTCAGTAAAGTGGTGTCGAGGATCAGAGGATAGTGTTATAGGAATGCCAAGGCGCGTCTCTCGAGCTCGTTGTTGGACGCGATTGTGGAACTCAGCTGTCTGCTTCGTATCGGTGATATCGCCAACGAGGTTAAAGTGCGTTAGGAATTGGTCCCCGATCATGAAGTCGGTACTATTCCGGAAGGCAGCTTCACTCCCTTCATCTAGCGTGCCGTTAGGACCCATGTACAGCATCGTATGGAACATTTGACCAGCTTTCTCCTCCACGGTCATCCGCCGAAGGAGATCTTCAACCCTATCGTTGACACATAGAGAAGAGTCTCTATAGGCTGGGACACCTGAATCATTGCCGGTCGCATAGCTGAAGCAGAAGCCATTGAGAGGCCAGGCCGACAATGCCAATAAGGCAAGTAAACGAGAGCCCATTGTGCTTCGTGATATTAAGAGGTGCTTGATTCTAAAGCGGTGACTCGGCTCCTAGCTTAGAGATTCATAGCTTGTTTCTTCGAGTCTCCCTCCTATTTATGAAGCCGCTACAGCTCGTATGGCGGCAACGGAGAAATAGAGATTTGCGGCGAACCACGCCCGAAAACATCACGAACGGGTCATAGGATCAAAACTATGGCCAGCCGATACTGAATCAGGTCTATCGGCCCTTCCATCGGCCTATACACGGTGCACTACTGAGTCCGTTATCTCGGCACACGTGGTTGCGTCCCGACTCTTATTTCTCCATGCCGACTTACCCAGAGAGCGTGGGGAGACTCTGGGGACCCCAGCCATACGTAAGCGGCGGTCTATCCTAATGCATCTTGGACTGAAGTAAATTACGACTTCTTGGCATTGTAAAAGGATGATTATGGCAAGGATATTGAGAAGGGTTTTGGTAGCGCGGGAGAATATTCGGTAAATCCCTGGAAGCCGGTGTTATTTGGACCCAATCCATTAGGTAAATGACCTTGATAGATATGTAAGGTACTTATGTATTAATTCACGCCTGGTAGCATTAGGTTTATGGGACTGCTCTAGGTTAGGTTAGTTGTTATGGGTATGACTCTATACCTGTTAAGTCTACCGAATTACGTTTATAATGTGTTAGTCTAACCTATAGTATCCAAGCTATTTAATTCTAGTTATTGAAAAGTATAACACGTTTATATCAGAGTGATATGCTTAATATTAGGTTAATTGTCAATCTTAGAAAATCGATAAACATACCTAGGTAATGATAAAAGTAGAAATTAATGGCTATAGGTAATGTTAGTTTAAAAGAAATATAACAAGCCATTATAAATTATGTAAAACTGCTTTATAATCTTCATGTTCAATAGGTTTACACTGTGCATCCTAATGATACGGACGGCCCTTGCTGTACCCCAGATTTTACAGGGACTTACCATTACCATTGCTCCACTTGCTCCGGCATCGCAAGTAACTTTGTTGTGCGGACCAATCAAAATGACTGAATTGTCAATTTGTCGCAATGAATTTTGTGTTACTTTTTTTTTTTTTTCTTCTTCGCTGAAGTATTTCTTGTCGCATGCCTTTACTCCTGCGATGCCAATTAAACAGTATGAGGACAGCTAATATCCTGTGCCGTCGAGGCACACCTCTTCGAGTGCGTATAATTCATAATTCATATACTTCACCGAATTCCACAATTCCAGAATTAATACAGTACCTAATATAGGGCCTTCTAACTCGAAATTGCCAAAGACGCATCCCTCTAACACGTACCTTTGCAACGCCCACGTTCGACACCTCGAATCCGCGAATACCGCCGTACCTCAAGTTAGCCAAGAACTATGAAAAGGTCAAAGAGGTACTGGGTAAGGGTGCTGCCCTTACCTTGGCTGAGAAGATCCTCTACAGTCATTTAGACAATGTCGAGGAATCCCTTACGACTAACACGGATGGTGGACGAAATATTCGAGGAACAGCAAATCTTAAGCTGAAGCCTGATCGAGTTGCCATGCAAGATGCCTCAGCACAGATGGCCCTTTTACAATTCATGACCTGCAATCTCCCCTCGACAGCTATCCCGGCTAGCATTCACTGCGACCACTTGATTGTGGGCGAACGAGGCGCGCAGGCCGACTTGGAAACTGGAATCAAGGTGAACCAGGAGGTGTTTGACTTCCTAGAATCTGCGTCGAAAAAATATGGCATTGAATTCTGGCCTCCTGGTGCTGGCATCATTCACCAGAGCGTCCTGGAAAACTACGCTGCCCCTGGCCTGATGATGCTGGGTACTGACAGTCACACACCTAACGCTGGAGGTCTTTCCACGATAGCAATTGGTGTTGGTGGTGCTGATGCCGTTGAGGCTCTCGTCGGCGCGCCATGGGAACTTAAGGCCCCTCGCATTTTGGGAGTAGAGCTGAAGGGCAAGCTCAGTGGCTGGGCTGCACCAAAGGATGTCATTCTTAACCTTGCGGGACAGCTTTCGGTCCGCGGCGGCACTGGGTTTCTGATCGAGTACTTTGGACCTGGTGTAGAAACACTCAGCTGCACTGGTGCCTCGACAATGTGTAACATGGGCGCCGAAGTTGGCGCTACAACTTCTATCTTCCCCTTTAATGCCGCTCACGTACGATATCTGGAGGCGACACACCGACACGACGTAGCAAGGGAGGCAAAGAAGTTCTCTGATATCGTTCAGCTTAAGGCCGATGCTGGTGCGAAATATGACGAGGTTATTACCATCGACTTATCCACACTAGAGCCTCATATCAACGGGCCCTTTACCCCTGATTTATCTACGCCGCTATCTCAGTTTAAGCAAACCGTACAGGAGCAAAACTGGCCTGACAAGCTATCAGCAGGTCTAATCGGAAGTTGCACAAACAGTTCGTACGAGGATATGACGCGTGTAGAGAGCATGGTCCGTGAAGCGATAGAAGCCGGTTTAAAGCCCGCATCCGATTTTTACATAACGCCGGGAAGTGACCAAATCAGGGAAACTTTACGACGAGATGGTCCTCTGGATACGTTTAAAGAAGCTGGTGGCACTGTGCTTTCGAATGCCTGTGGTCCTTGCATTGGTCAATGGAAGCGACATGATGGCGTTGAAAAAGGAACCCCTAATGCTATACTTACTTCGTATAACCGTAACTTTCGCGGCCGCAACGACGGAAACCCGGATACTATGAACTTCCTCGCATCGCCCGAAATCGTCACTGCCATGACTTTCGCAGGCACTACAACCTTCAATCCTATTACCGACTCGCTTCCTACCCCATCTGGCAAGGAATTTAAATTTACTCCTCCATCGGGTCTCGAAATCCCAGCCCAGCCGTTCGAGGTAGCTCGAGAACAGTTTCGACCCCTTACCCAAGCCCCTGATCCATCTGTTGATGTAGCCATTTCACCTTCTTCGGAACGTCTTGCGCTTTTGGAACCTTTTGACCCCTTCCCTACCTCCGAACTCTCAGGCCTTCGGGTATTAGTCAAAGTTACCGGAAAATGCACGACGGACACTATCTCTGCCGCCGGTCCTTGGTTGAAGTATAAAGGCCATCTCCCCAATATTAGCGAGAACACGCTTAACACGGCGATAAATGCCGAAACCGGTGAAGTTAACGTTGCTTATGACTTAGATGGGTCTAAGCACACGATTCCCGAACTAGGAAAGCGCTGGAGGGAGGCTGCGCAACCGTGGCTAGTGGTGGCAGAGCATAACTACGGAGAGGGCAGCGCACGAGAGCACGCCGCGCTCCAGCCGCGGTACTTAGGTGCCAGAATCGTGCTTTCTAAGAGCTTTGCCCGCATCCACGAGACGAACCTAAAGAAGCAGGGTGTCGTGCCACTGACATTCGCCGATGAGGCTGACTACGATAAGATCAGTGCCGGTGACGAGGTATCTACAATTGGCTTATATGAGATGTTGCAAAATGGCGGTAAGGGCGAGGTGGCGCTTAAGGTGAAGAAACATAAGACCGGAGAGGAGGTGCTCATCAAGACGAAGCACGCTGTTAGCAAGGACCAGGCGGGCTTCATTCTAGCGGGAAGCGCACTGAATTTGCTTTCGAAAGGTAAGTGATACGGATGGACTTGGAGGCACATAGAGGTCACCTTACGCGCTCGATGATAGATATGTATGACCGATGTTCATATGGCGGAATTATAGACAAGCGTGCTAAACGGCAGGATATGAAAAGTTTATTCGAGATATACAAAAAAGAAATATAGACATGATAACGTACCTCTGTTCCAGGGAAGACTTAAAATAATAGCTTTATACGTGTTATTCCGGAAGTTAGTTCATAAACAAGCTATTACCTACTACTTATGATAATGCCCGTCGATGTTTCTGGTCTATTTTCATAGCCGTCGAGCTTTTAAGCCGCCACGAAGGGATAAATACCTACGTTTATGGGGTATAGAGTAAGAATATAAATTGTTTGATCTGATTTGTTAGTTGTACTATTGTCTTACTTCATTATTAATATAGACTATACTATAAGTGTAGTAAAGATGACCATAACAGTAACTATACCTACCTAAGCATCAAATTTAGCTCAACTTTTTAAAAAGATTTTATTCCTTGAAAAGCCTTTATAGTTAGTTACTAAACAGCCAACCTAGTGTTTCGGGAAATTGTTTAATTTTAATTAACTAACCTTTGAAACTAAAGACTGTAATGTACCCGGTTCATCCCTGCTAACTCAGGGAAAATAACATAAATTATAGTCATATATTAATTGGTAAGTCTACAATCTTAGTCTCAGGTATCTGTTCCAGGGACAGAAAAAAAATAGAGAAACAAAGCGTAAGATTTCCTTAAGCTACTGGTGATATTAAACATTCACATTAAAAAGCTAATTTCTAGTAATACCATACGCATAGTAATTTCGCAGGATATCCGAATCGCATATAAATATGATTAAGCTGTATAATATCGATTGGCTACCTCGAACCAACCTGGCTCATTTAGTATCTCCAGCTCTTCCATGAACTTAAAGCCACCTCCTAGTCGGTGGTATTTCCCTCCCCGAAGACGCCTCGCACCATCCAATGCAATGCTCTCTAAAAATCAATTCCATATTGTCCATATTGCCATGCCATTGAGAGCCTAGCTATTCGTACCAGGGCCAGCCAAAAAAGTCCTCTATATTTGCATTTTTGAATAGTTCCTTGGACAATTAATTTCACGGACGGCTAGTCATGCCAGAAATGTGGAATTATAGCTCACTTTTGGAACTTTCAAACAACCTCTGCTGGATCTTCCATTTCGATATCACTATCTTCATCCATAACCATGATTTTACCTTCCATCTCCTTTTGTTGGATCCCCTTTTGACGGGCATGATGCCTTTGCGCGTAATACTGGTCTGCCATCGCGTCTAGTTCATCTAGAGCGGATAGCCAGGCGGGGTTATTCCGCACTCGATCAGGCAAGTCGACTATAGGCGCGTCGTCGCCTTCTTCCCGTCTCCGCTTTACTGTACGGGCTGCAACTTGGCCAAAATTACTTTTTCTACTTCCCCGTTCGCGAATCTCGTTCTGCTTTCCAAGATACCACTTCTTGGAGCGAGGGCGTGTCCAATGGACCCGCGGGTCTATATGACTAAAATGTGTTGCTGGACGAGTTGGGCGCGGAGGTTGTTGATATTCAGGTAGAGCGAACGATGTAGAGCCAGGTCTATTAGCTTCATTAGGTTTGCCGTATATATAAGAGTCGAATTTATCTGGATCATGTTTAGATATCCAGACCTGCCGCCTTTCCTCGGGGTTCAAATGTTTCCAGCGCCGGTTTTGAACTATAGATGCAAAAGTTGATTTGCTGACCGGTGGATTGGCAGGTCTCTTTGCTGCGTTTCGATTATTGGTAAGCTGCGCCGCCTTTGGCACATCTTGATGGCGTTTTGCCAAGGGACGTTTCTCCGCTACCTGTGACCTACTGAGTATCTGCGTACCTGAGGGATCCGAATCTCCCCTATTTGGTGACTGGTGTGTAGGATTAGACGCTTCCTCGGAATTTAACCGAGGTAACGGAGTACCTAAATCAATTCTGGGGCTTTTGGGGGTGGGAATGTTTATCCTTGTCGGATTTTCAAGTATATTGCGTATATATTCGTTTACTTGTTCCTTCGTCGGTATCTGTGATATACGATGCACCCCGTTAACCGTTGTAGTGTTCGGCGTTACAACCGTGGTAGGAGCAGTAGACGTTACTGGTGGGTGATTAGCAGCAATACCATTGACAATTCTTCCAGTATCTTCTGTCGGCTCTGGTACTTCGTTTCTTTGTTGATCTTGATTATCATTCTGATAGGCTTCAGCTGCGGGGGTTTCAAGGGGCGATTTAGGACGGTGGACAGAGTCTTGTTTGTCGTTGGCTGGCTTGGGTTCCGTTGGCGGTGAAGCGACTTGCGAATCTGGCGAAGGCAACGTCGGCGCGGGTCGAGGTGCAATATGAACGTGAGGCTTCCGCGGGAGGGGCCGAATTGTCGAGTTGGAACTTGTCTTACGAACCCCGTTCTGCTCCTTCCGACTTGCTGCACTATTTCGATGAAGCTTATTCGTGTCTTTATTTTTGGAGACGTGCACCTTTATTGATTCTCCCTCGCGTCCCGATTCGGAATTAATATGTGCAATGCGAGGGTTCGGACCTCCAGTATGATCTTCTTCATGTTTCTCGGTGCTGACTTTCGGACTTTCAACGACTTTGCTAGGAGGTTGAAAATGAGGGCTGTCATCTTCTGTGAGGTCTATGATCCCGTGAGTTGGAACTTTATAACCCTTGGAATTGTCATATAGACCTTGTTGCTTACGTGGCCGATCCTTGTAGAAAGGTTTCGAAGCTGAACGATCATCCTGTGATCTGGACCTTGATGGTGTTTCTAACGAAGAAGAAATTTCTTTCTTTGGCCGAAGAGCAAAGTCAGAAGCTGCCACGGGTTCATGATCACGTTCACCAATATTCGTCGATGCCGCCACAGGAGATGGATAAGAGCCGCTCTCAGAAAATGAGGAAACACGACGATAGGCCTCTACTTCGCCTTCCTCCATGTCAGTAGACAATCTTGGCCGTTTTGGTGGCCGTTGACTCGAGGAAGCAATATCTCTAGTAGAGCTAGCATAAGAAGGAAGCTTGGGCTCAGACTTGCGAGTGCCTACTGGTTCGTGCTTTGAGGTAGAAAACGCGTTTCCAGCAGTTTTTCTCGCTACCATTTTAGTGGGAAGGTGCTTCTTTTCGTTCACGGGACCCGCCATTGGAAGGGGAGCTTTCACAGTGATAGCATCTCCTAGCTTCTCTGATTGGGGGATCGCGGCAGTAGGATTACTTTTGGGCGGTGATGCGGGCCGTTGTGAATGTTGATGATTGCTCGACTGCTGATGACCTGGAGTAGAAGAGGGCATCATAACGGTTGTAGGCTTGAGCGCGTTTATGCCGTCCGTATGTGTTGTGCAATAAGGTCCCTTGATGAAGATGGTAGCTTCGCATTCTTCAAATTGACATCGTTGTAAGATGTACTGATTATCCTCCATGATTCAATTTGTGGGTTATCCCAATCACACTCTATCTAAGAACGTGATACAGTAGGAAGGAGGCTTTGTTAAGTCCCAATGCGCGGGCAGCCGCGAGGGCTTATGGAAATATCGATAAGATACCTGCGTTCGTTCCCTTGAGTTTTGTCGAAGTCGTGTCATCTTAGCCACTTTTTCCCTTATGATGGAAATAACTTCAGTGATTACACTGGGAACTACGTGAAGTAGAAAGTCAATACTTGAAAACTATGAGATAAGTGAAAGATCGTGGGGATGCGCTGCCGGCAAATCTGATTACTAAATCACATAAAAGTAGAAACGAAGAGAAGACACCACCAGATAATCCGGGTAGATAATTAAAAAGACGAAAAAAAAATGTGAAGTGGCGCGGTGGGGTGAATGACAGACAGGTACTTACTGAAATGGTTGTACAAACCCGTTGAAAAAATAGCGACAGCAATAAGAACAGAAATAGGGGAAATAAGAGCTTGCTAAAAAGACGGCTCGAGTAACAATTTATGTTGTGATGCTGCTCGACGTCTTATCCTAAAAAGATGAAGGATGGTCGTATACCTGACCTATATCTTTAGATACCAATAAGAAATAAGATCCTATAGACAATGTTAGATTAGATATAATAACCGATATGCGCACTCGATAAAGGATAACGAAATGGGAGGCTTGTCTCAGATCTTTTCAGTCTTTAATTTGAGTCATCAACCTGCAGGATACACCGGCTTCGAATTCCGAACCTCGCTTATCACGATCCCCAGAGATTGGGGGGTATATTCACCGCAGCCTTTGGTCCTGCTTTATGGTGGCAATGCAAAGCTAGGCTCCTATATAGCGGAACATACAGCTATTACTGCAACTTTTTCTGCCTTCTCCCCGAAGAGACGGACGGGCCAATAACTTCAGTGTGGCGAGTCCTACATAAAGTGTTGCGGGGGTTGAAGACGCGTTCTCAAATAGAAAACACCGGTTGAATTTAAGGCGGGTTATAGAATTCAAAACCAGCAGTATCCATAGATGCAGTCCGCCCTTTTACCATATTTGTTCATCATAGACCAGCCTTGCCACAAATAAAAATAGGGACTTAAATTGAAGAACATCAAGTAGTTATAAATATTTAAAAACAACATACCGGTAGCGATTAATACCCTCGCGGTATACGATCCAATACGGCTGAAAGGCGTCTTCGTCATGGTCCGTAAGGGAATTTAGCTAGCAAGCTTAAATAGACACCAAAACGAATTGGATCGCGCCGACCGAGATTTTACGCTGCGTAAAATGTGAATGGCGTTTCTGATGGCACAGGAATATTCTTCATCACATCGCAACAACAGTCTCAACAAGTCGGTGTGCAAATGTCCATTCGGGAAGAGAGCACACAACCGGGAAGATAGTTTGACACATAAAAGATGAATTTCCTAGGAACAAGTTCAGTGCTGTATGTAAATGACGAGAATTAGCGTCGATGGTCTATTGTCCATAATGTGGCCCGTGCGATCCATAGGTATGCCTAAGATGTGGAGTCGCTTATCGGACTATTGTTTTAACGGACGTTATAATTAGAGCTCATAGAGAAATAATCTCGAGAGTCGTACCTTCTTTTACTAGCAGCCATACGTGTAGATTCCTACCGTTATTATGTACCTAATGTATAAACCTAGGTACCTAAATACTATATTCATTTAGGTACATGTAGTCATAAGATAGAATGGACTTGCCCGTTAAATCTCAAATCGAAGATTAGGTACTTGGGCAAGAACTTTAAACCTTCTTTAACTTATGGAAATAAGAAATTACCAGCCAAGATTAATATAGCCACTTACACTTACACTATCCACTATGTCACACACGAATATCTTACATTTACCTAAGTTTTAAGTAGGTTAGGTACTTACATAAATTACAACTGAATATAAGTCGCTCCTTGTTTCGTTCTTTTCTATCTACGCATTTGGTTGATGCTTCGTATACCGATCAAAAGACCGCCTCCACTAGGACTAATCACCAATCATATATGACCCCTTTATTGGCAACGTTTCAATCCTCGTACGGATTCCCAACTGCATAATTGACACGTCGCGTACTATCGATCCATCATCGCGGTAAGCGCTATTAAAAACTCATACGCCAATATTTACCTAAGGAATGATTCATTTTACTGTGCTGTAATATGTGTTTAATAGGAAAACATAAATATTTAAGTACCTAAGCTATTCACAAATTAAACTAAACAAGTAATATTATCGGTTACATTTAATATAGTGCGCGCTTAAAATAGGCGACTTACAATGTTGGTAGTTATTTAATATCATATTTCATAGTGTTAAGTAGTCATATACGAGAGTGCTGACTCCTCCACGCCTTAAAATTATGTATTTAAGTTGATGATAGCGCAAATCTAAGTACCTAAGTATTTTAATAGTTATTAACTGTACATGATAGCAATGGTCTTATACCAAGCTCACCTTTTATTCCATCTCTTTTGAGCCAACTTCCTTTATACATATCAGCGCAATATCTGTACAATATCACGTCACACACAAATTGATATACTACTGAACTAATTTAATGGGCCTTGGTTATTTTGTCATTCCTTGTACAAACACCTTAGGTATTTAAAGTAGCAACAAACTTAGCATTCGATTTAAAGCCACGCCTCAAGTACTCCCTACGTCGCGTCAAAGTCCACTTATATAAGAAGTCACCGACAGTCTTTTTCATAGCACCGCAACTATAATTCTGTTGTACCTCAAGTGTCCGGGTGGAGGGGGCTCCTATGCTAATAAATGCAAACAGTAGTTAGATCTTAGGCCTAAAGAGAATAACTATAGAAGATACAAACTATATTACTGTTTCCATATCCTGTACGTTTGTCAAACCGCCGCATCCAAGCCCACACAGTAATAAAATATATTAATAAGATACATGATTGAACGAGAACCCTGACTAAATGAGCCGTCATATTTTGTGAAACTGCGATTGCATCTGTAGAATGTAGGGCTATTATCATCTTTCTTCGCGACAGTATGAGTGGCTAGATTCTAACCAACAAGAAGCAAGGATATCCATCGGCCAAATCTAATTGGCTAAACATCATTGTCGGAAGCATGCATCCCAAGCGTACGTGTGCCTGGGTTAGTTGGCTACGAGGATAGTCGCGATAGATCATATTAATCAAGCCGTATGAAATACACTTACAGCTAAACGGCTTCGCCAATTTTTTGCAGTTAAGTTAGGTACCTAGGATAAATGCATCCAGCGGCCGATGTCACGTAGCAGCTCAATAAGTGGCCCAATAACATAAATCCGATCGTAGATGAACAAGTCGCCAAGCATTCACTGATAAATCTTGACGCTGCAGCCGATGCCCCTTACAATAATGTGATGTCAAACACTTCGAGAGATGGATGGTTATACAGATGTCCATTGAAACTAATAGGTACCTAGCGATGGAAACTTTGCCTACCGGACCTGGTATATGCAGCCGTGTTCACACTTTCGATACTTGTATATCAACAGGAAGAAAATGCAACCGGAGGCTTTGGGTAAGAGTGCCTACTGAAGCCTCATATATTACGGCAACCAACTCAAGCATAGGTATTGATATATTTACAAGTCGCAATATCTGTAGAATATATACGATGAACATAGCTATATGCAACTTGGGTTAAACGACCAAAACCCAATCAAAGACGAGTTCTCTCAGAATCTAGCTCTAGGACGCAAACATCGCCATCCACGACAGACCTCGCCACAAGCAACCGGAGCTCTAATTCCTCAATTCATACAACTGGCTAACATCCCCAAGCCCATCCTTCGAATACAGCGCCGAGAAATACCTAGCATCGCGATTAAACACACCCGGCCAATGCGACGCCGCCTCGCCGGTAACCACGCTGCCGGACCACGTCTTACCGCCGTCCACGCTAGCAATAACCTTCATCTGCGCGCTGTCGTACCCGCTCGTGCCCTCCACGTCCTCGTTCGTCATGAAGCTGGCCACCAGCGTGCCCCACACGTTGCACACCTACGGCGCGCCCGCCAGCTTCCCGCCGTGTACAGTCGGCCGCTCGAGCCCCACGATCGGCCGTCGTCTAGTTGACTGAGAAGACCCCGCTTTCGGTGTTTTCGAAGACAGCACTACGGCGCGTTAGGATTTCATGTGGTAATCAGAAGCCGGCCCCTGAAGAATGTTGGAGAGCGCGTGTGAAGATACTGACATGAGATTTCCGTCATTGACAATGGGCGCAATACCAACCATGCCATCGCGAGGATTCTTATCGCCGTCCGAGACGGCAATCTAGTGAGACTATGTCGCGCTGCCGTTCTTGGAGTACTTCATGAAGTTGTCTTGGTCGCCCGCGCTGTTCTCAGCAGAGTAATAGCACTGCAGCGATCCATCCCTGGCGATTCGCAGGAACGGCTCCCAAAGGCCGTTAACGCCTGACGAGACGTGCTCCTCGACGGTGGAGAGATACTTGAAGGTCTTGTCGCCGTCGTCCGAGTACGAGATCGAGATGCGGAAGTACGTGTAATGCCAATCAGCGCCCGTGCGATCGTGGTTCCGGTTAGCGTACAGGATGCGATCGTTAGGGAGCTGAAGCGGCATTGCGTTGTTGATGTCGTGGGTTGCGATTTTGCTTCGGAACACTTCGCCGAGGTGCTCTCACGACTGGCTGCCGTTGGTAGACTTCACAACACGCAATACGTTTTGAGTGCCGTCCTTGGCGGCGTACCCGCCGAGTAGACTGCCATCATTCATAGAGCTAGCCCGGAGATACTTAGAGTTGGTGTCGATCACTACCGGCTCGCCGGCTTTCAAGACGCGGCCCGGTAGGCGCTTGGCAAGGGAGGCCGGGGCGGCCGATGCTACCCCGACGATGGCAAGTGCCGCGAAGAAGCTCTTAGACATGAACATGGTACACGGCGCTTATATGCCTGTAGTTAATGTAGATTGTGATCCTGATCGCGACACAGCCTATGTAGATCATAATATGGGCGCCAAATAGTTATATAATATATGTAGACACCGTGACACATTATCGTAACGCCCGTGCTGGTACTACCATTAGGAATGTCATTGCATCCTCGGCTCCTCTACCGGGTGGCAGTTCGTCACCTTAGCGAAATCATCATGGGATTAACTAGCCAGCTGAATATATATATAGTAGTATGCGAGGTCCAATTGTCAAGTGCAACTATCCAGATTCGGCGACAGTGTCTTTGTATAGCTATAGTGGATTACTTATAGATGCTTAGAAACTCAAAGGGAGCGCCGACTAGGGTCAAAGTTGAGTTTGGCTTGTTTTAGCAGACTAAGCAGACTAATTGCAATCCTTATTCGAGAAGGTGATTTCTTTAAGTCGATATGTGCTAGCTACTAAGCTCGTGGTTGTTCCGAGAGCCACGATGTTCCAGGGCTGGATCACACGCTATGGGTTGGTGTTTATAAGTCCGTCTTGGAATTCGTACCTTAGGTGCATAAAGTCGTCATAATAGTCAAAGCCCAAGGCTTTCTTGGTTTCCGTTTGTACATGGCGCCTTGAGGGATGCGCAATTAAGCAGGTAATGGAACGTTTCAATCAATTAGAGACCGGTGCTGTACTTTCCTGGGCATTGGTAACGTGTTTTATTTGTTCCTACCGAGCGGCGATGTGACATCAAGTTCGGTCTTATTGAAATCGGGCATATTCAGCGAAACTAACATTTGATGGAGCTGTCCAGATTATCACCATGTTTACCGAGATCACGATAACTATGTGTACTTTCGAGTTCTGCGTTAGGGTTACGAAGACAAGCGTAGTTATACATTCGCGGGATTCGAGCACCGACGGTCTATAGAGCTAGGTCTGCTGTAGGTGAGCTGATAGAGGATCTTGTCGCTTAACGTATTCTAGATATTTTGAAGATATGCCGGAACAGAGAAACTAAAATATAAAAATCACATTAGCGAATCATATGTAAAATTAACAAAGAAAAAAGGCTAAAAATAAGTAATAGTAAGGAACACTCAAAATCACGTGCTTCAGCCCAGACTTTCCCTCGTAATCAATTTTAATCAATTTTACCCCCGACCCGCTCTTCTCCCTATTCAGTCACTCCCACAACCCATCGGCCGACTCCGATCACACCACCCATCGCTAGCATCGTACCACGCAGCAGGCCAGAATGCCATAAGCGCGTACCCAACGACCTGATTTTTCAGCCTCTCATCTCCGGTCCCTTTTCGCCGGCTACCAGGTATCGCCCTCCTGGCTGAATACGCGCAGCCCCGTGGCGTGACACGATGACCGCCTCACCAGATAGCTAAGGCATTCGTATATACATAGTGTATGTACAGGAAGTCAACGGTGAGCTTTCTGGGGATGGGTGCCGCATGCCGTCATGGACCAGCCCGAACCACATGTCAGGACCACGGCGCTGGATTCCCAGCTAAGCCCTGAACGGGTTCTGGGTCATACGTTCGCCAGTATCTACGAAGATTCTGACTCTGGTTCTCGGGTCGTGGAGTGTTGGGAGTGTGATTATTATTATTGTCCTTCGCCGTAGTGGCCGGCCGTGGCCTGTAATATAAGAGCGGTCGTGAGTCTGGGAATTTGGAATAATGTGTATCATCATCATCATCAGCAACATAGACATCTTCACTCATCAATTATAAAATATTTCAAAAAGACATCTCCACTCCCAAGTCTCTAGAGCAATATAGACATCTCACCTCTTGAAGCTCATCTCAACTCAGAAAAAAGTCTACTTCGAAACCTTGTCTTATTAGACACTTAGCTATAACGACAACCATCCACACTTCTTAAACTTCCCAAGTTTCAAACCCCTGAAGTCAAAATGTCAGCCATCGCCGCCAACGCCGCCCGATACCCCCTTTCCGCTCTTGCCCGGCAAGCTTTCAAGAGCTTTCGGCAATCAGCCCGGATTGTTGAGGGCCCTACCGAAGCACTCCCCTCAGCCGGCCCGTCTCAGCGCGCGGACTGGGGCCGCATCGCACGAGCTCGTCTCGGTGTTGCTGCAGTGTAAGTTTCATCCCATCCTCGAACCCCTATATATATATATATATATATATATATACCTACCTACCTACACACGATGAAGAACACGGAGCTGACTGTCATATTATAGATACTTCCCTGCTCTAGGCGGTTTCCTCGCTTGGCCTTTCATCAGCAAGGCCGCCCTCAACGGCCACATGGGACAGTTCTAATTCGCTTCGAACATGTGTTACCTTTACATACCGGGTCATACAATATCCATCGTTCACTAATTCGACGATTATACACCTGTACATAGAGTCCTCAAATTTACGACATCCGGAAGGCGTTTTTGGGTTGCCAGAGAGAAACAGAATAACTGGCTGTTTTCTACATAATGATATCAGAGGCGTTCCGGCTCACTACTTAACCTAATCAGTTTGAAGAGGGGTAAATAGGGGAAAATCGTCTGGAGTCGTATAACGTTGTCGACCATCTTCAACCTCTTCTATATGTCTACCTTCTATATCTATATATACTTATCAAGATATAACAGTACCGTTGACCGCATGAGCGGCAGCAGAAATATCAGTTCCTTTATCATTTCCACTTCCGTATTCGAGATACCCGTGCTTTCCTTCAGGCAGATGTAGTCTTCTTGCCTCGCTAGTATCGTGTAAGCCTGTGCGTCTTAGAACTTCGACTGTGCGCTCGTAATTGTTCTCGGCATATTCTTCGGCATCGAACCCGAGTATCCAGGCCTCCCGTCTTAGCCTCATACTTTCCGGGTTCTTCTTAGCGGCGTCGAAGTCTGCCTTGTGCCAGATGTCACGTGTCTGTTCGCCCGTCTTCTGTGCAGATTTGACGCGTTCGTACCGGATTGCTTCAAATGCTGCGACTGCTTCCTGGACTTTGTCGGGGCCGCCGCATTCGCGCAGGCATACGGCGATCGTGACTCCATCCTCCATCGCCTGCGATGCTCCCTGAATAGACGTCGGCAAAAACGGATGGGCCGAGTCACCAATTAGCGTAATACGCCTATCTTTCGAGATCCACGTTGGTAGGGGGTCACGGTAGACGAGCTTCCAGTCGATTAAGGGCGATGGTGTTTTGTCTAGGATCTTCTGTATGATGGGATCCCAGCCCTCGAGAACTTTACGCGCGTCTTCTAGCGGCGCCTCCAGTTGCCAACTCTCTTCTATATCAGCCTCATCCTTATGCGTACATACCCACGAGAAATCCTTCCCCTTCTTCATGCAAGCCGCGATGAAGTGTACGTCCGGACCGAGCCAAGCAACGTGTTTGTCACCACCGTCGGTAAAGAATTTGGTATCGGGATCCTTTGCGATCTCGTCGGCGCTGAACCAACTGCGGTATACAGCGTAGCCAGAAGGCTTGGGCTTATCTTCAAATCCGAGAACGATCTTGCGGCCCTTGCTACGTACGCCCTCGGCCGCGATCACGACATCAGCCGTAATTTGCTCTCCATTGTCAAGGACTACGCCCGCTTCTTTATCGTCTTCGAAGTAGTCCTCGACACGGGCGTTGAGCCGAATCTTGACGCCGATTTCTTTGGCATGGTTATAAACGATCTCGTGGAATTCGCCGCGGTGACCATCATAACGGATGCCAAACTCTGCGTCTTCGCCCTCCCAGTATTGGGTGAAGAGTGTTTCCCCTTTCCAGGATTTTAGAGTGATCGCGTCAGCTCTCATACTAAGGGGCTCCAATTTCTCGGCGACACCTGGCCATCGACGGAATAATCGCGACGAGTTGGGTCCAAATGAAATAATATCGCCTAGGAGCTTAAGCTCTGGGAATTTCTCGAGCACTAATACATCATGTCCTTTGCGGTGGCACTCTATCGCGGCCGTTAGTCCTGCGAAACCCGTTCCCACCACGATCACCTTGATGTCCGTCTTGGCAGATTTCTGTGACTCGGTCATTTTGTTAAATATATTCGTTTTATTGATGAATCGTTTCAATTGTCCCTCTATCTTTCTTCAACATCGGGATTGATGGAGTAGGCGTTTATCATAAACCCGACTTTGACCTCGGGTATGATCAACTGGCTGGATTAGTTTAACCTAACTGTATAGGCCTCGCGTTCTCACATGACATATAAACTGGCCGGGCGGCACATACTTCTACTTGTGTATTGCTAAATCTCTATGGTGGATGTATGAACTTACCTATCTAATTCTTCAACCTAACTATATTAGACTCAATATTCCCCGCATCAGGACCTAGAAGGAGTATCGGCAGTTGCGCCGCGGCGGTAGATGATGGTTAAATGTCGAGTTGATTATCCCAAGCAGGCTCCATATAGCCCTTGATAGCAGCAGCCAATGAAAGATGCAATGGGATAGGATACTTGGATTCTGGGTCGTTAACCCCTTGTTCAATTCCGAGTGGGGAAGCTCGCGGAGACGTTTGATATCCCGTAGAATACTTATTTCCCCAAGTTTAGGATGTGCGGAGAGTCTGTGGACCTGTGCTTATTTCGTCGACAATGGTAACGGGGAGCGGCGCGATGCTACGCTATACTGCATATGCATCTCGCTGTCATCTGAATCCTTGCCTGTACATCCATGGCTACCGCGAAGAGGAGTCAGTGCTTATAAACATGGATCTCCAACTGCTACATATCTATTTTAGAGACGGTTGTCCTCTCAATGCGTGCTAGTATTGTCAATTGATTTTGTAGAACAATAGACAAACGACTACCAGGCCATTCTCGTCAAAGCAAGTTGGCACGATGCCTTGGGGAATCCTCGAGAGCAAGCATGAGGGACACGTCCCTGGAACAGGCACGGAAATCTCTTAAGATGAATAAAGCTGTAAAACAGACGCTAATACAAGTTCCAGTAATACTTACGGATCAGTCTGATATACCAGACGAATACCGAAACGTCTCTCGAGAGCTGCTCAAACATGGTACCGGGAAGTATTCCAATATTATATTAACTCCTCAGCCAAGCGACTCTCCCAACGATCCTCTTAATGTGAGTCCACCGCGGCAGAGAAGCTTGGGAATTAGGAACTCACAAGAATACAGTGGCCAACATGGCGCAAAGATGTTGTTCTTGTTATCGTAGGTCTCTCCGCCGGAGTTGTGGGCGCGTATGGGCCGATGATTTCACCGGGTTTTGTTGAAATCGCCGCAGCGCTCGACGTAACGGTCAACACGCTTTCTCAAGCAACAGCCTGGGTAGTTTTAACGATTGGGCTGTCACTCTTCGTCTTCAACCCGTTAGCTAAAAAGATCGGGCGGCGCCCGGTATATGTAATATCAAGCATCATTATGCTCTCCGGGAGCATCTGGGGAGCCCTTGCAAAGGATTATAGTAGCTTCTTGGGTAGCAGAGTATGGAGCGGCTTAGGAATGGCACCTTACGAGATACTCGTACAGTGCACGATCGCCGATATCTACTATGTCCACGAACGGGCCACTAGAATCGCCGTCTGGAATATGTTCTTGTTATGTGGTATCAGCGGAGGTGCTCTTATTGCCGGTTATATTATCGAGGTAAGTCATATTCGGGACTCTGCTGCGCTAAACTCGCTAACATCTTCGTAGGACCAAGGCTGGCAGTGGACTTTGATCTGGTGTGCCATAATCTTTGGCATGCTTCTCCCTTTCGTGATACTCTTCGTCCCCGAAACCGCGTATAGAAGACAGTCGTTTGAGCAACAGCTAGCAGTTAAAGGCACCAACAGCCAAGATGCCAAGCCAGAGACTTCAGAGAAGAAGGATGCCTCGTCCGGCCCAGAGGACAGTACTAAGGTTGAAACTATAGAGACTGGTGTGGTAACTGAACGCAAAGATTCGTATCTACGAAGCTTGAAACTCTGGAGTGGTACTATTTATACTAGTACTCCCCTTTGGAAGATTTTTCTGCGTCCGGTCGTCATCTTCTTCTATCCAGCCGTCCTTTGGGCATTCTTACTTTACGGGGTCACCTTGACTTGGATCGTGGTATTTAGCGTCGTGAACGCAGTCATCTTTACAGCACCGCCATACAATTTCTCGGTATCAGAAACTGGGTTGATCTCGCTATCCCCCTTCATTCTTACCTTTATTGGTGAGGTCTTGTCGGGTCCATTGACCGACTGGGTTTGCATGTACCTGGCCAAGAAGAACCGTGGTATCTACGAGCCCGAGTTCCGACTACCGCCTATTATCATCTCATTCTTCGTTGGTATCGTCGGCTTCTTCGGATTTGGCGCTACTGTTCATTATCAAACTCATTGGTCCGGGCCGGTTCTATGCTTTGGTCTAGCAAACATGAGTCTTGCTCTGTCTAATGCATCTGTCTTTGGTTATGTGATCGACGCTCATAAGGAGTTAAGCGAAGAAGGTATGCTTCCTCTTATTCATTATTAGTGGCAATCTCGAGTGCATGCTAATTATTATCTCTTGCAGCATTCGTGGCTATCAATGCTCGGAATATTCTGACCTTTGGTTTGACTTACTTCGTCAACGATTGGTTAGCAAAAGATGGTGTCCTCGCGGTCTTTAATGTACTCGGTGCTGTGTTTGTTGCCGTGAATATATTGACTATTCCTGTATGGATTTTCGGCAAGCGAATTAGGGAGTATATCGCTAGGAACGAAGCGCTGCACCGATTCATGCACGAAGATTAGGTGGTAATACTATTACTGTAACAGTATTGAGATGAGATTTGGGATCGTTAATATTGATGAATCAGAATTGAATTTCAAATTTATAGAATAGGTAGATTTACAAGATTATGAGATGCTTCATTAGGAATGTTGTAAAGAATAAGAATTGGCTTCTGTTAGGTACGTAATAGAATATTGGTAAAAGTCTTGTTGTATGTACTTCATATTGTACTTCGTACCTGTTAGGCCTTCTGTTAGCGTAGGTATACTACCTACCTATGTACATAGTGGCAGAGTGGGCAATTCGAGATAAGGTAGTGGTCTGTGCACTAAGCGAATCGAGCTTGGGCCACGTGTAAATACGTACTCTATTCGACAACGAGCCCCTGCAGGAGCTCCTGAACCATCCAAAGAAAGGGAAAGGGCACCTGGGCAAAGGCGCGTCGTGAATTTGAAGCTTCGCCGAAAAATTGTCCCAAGCCGATCGCCAACGCTGCACACAACCTTCCCACTTGACGACCACCGCACAAAATGCTTCTTGGACTTACGAGGTGACGACCGAACCCTTTCTTCTACATCCACTTGCTATTTTATAGTTAATAATAATACTCTTGAACCTCCGAATTCGCTTCAAACTGCTACAAACCCTTGTGGCCAATAAACAGGAGGACACCGACTTTATCTGATTGTAATTTGCGAAAGTTACGGCTTAGCAGTGAAGAGCGAAAACTCGCAATTCTCAGATTCGAAAGGGAAGGATTAGACGGTTAAGGGTCAAGTGCAAAGGGGAGACGAAAGTGAATACATACGAAGAGCTGCTTAAACGCCCAGACGCCCACAATGGCAGACTCCCTCCACAACGCGCCCATTGTACTGGATAATGGTTCTGGTACGATTCGGGCAGGTTTTGCAGGAGACGATCTACCTAAATGTTACTTCCCCTCCTTTGTAGGTCGACCGAAGCACTTGCGAGTGCTTGCCGGTGCTTTGGAAGGCGAGGTATTCATTGGCCAAAAGGCGGCGACCGAGCTGAGAGGACTCCTAAAGATAAGATACCCTTTAGAACATGGCATAGTCACGGATTGGGACGATATGGAGAAGATATGGGAGTATGTTTATAGCGAAGGACTCAAGACTATCAGCGAAGAGGTATATATGATCCTAGGACCCCTATTCTAGTATGGCACCTCTAACGTTGATATTTCCGTTAGCATCCTGTCCTCTTAACCGAACCACCACTTAACCCGCGAGCAAATCGAGATACGGCAGCTCAGATACTCTTCGAAACCTTTAACGTTCCCGCCCTATACACATCTATTCAAGCTGTCCTCTCCCTCTATGCTAGCGGACGTACCACGGGTTGCGTGTTAGATTCGGGTGACGGTGTCTCGCATGCGGTTCCTGTGTACGAGGGATTTGCGATCCCCTCCTCCATGCGCCGTATCGATGTTGCCGGCCGTGACGTTACTGAATACATGCAGACGCTGCTGCGCAAGAGTGGCTACGTCTTCCATACGAGCGCCGAAAAGGAAGTTGTGCGGTTAATTAAGGAAGCTGTTTCGTACGTGGCTTTAAACCCTAAGCAAGAGGAGAAGGACTGGCAGAGCGCGAAGTTAGACCAGGGGAAAACGGCAGAGTACGTGCTACCTGATGGTAACCGACTGCGCGTGGGTCAGGAGCGTTTCCGTGCGCCCGAGATCCTGTTTGACCCTGAGCTCATCGGGCTGGAGTATCCGGGTATTCAGCAGATCGTAACAGACGCCATCAACAGGACAGATCTGGACCTACGCAAGGCGCTATACGCCAACATTGTGCTGTCTGGCGGTAGCACCCTAACTAAAGGGTTTGGTGACCGCCTGCTGAGCGAAGTCAAGAAGCTGGCTGTCAAGGACATGCGGATCAAGATCTTCGCACCGCCCGAGCGCAAGTACTCGACTTGGATCGGAGGTAGCATTCTTGCGGGTTTAAGCACGTTCAGAAAGGTACCTATGCTTGCTGCTTCACTATTCCTAACCTAGAGATATACTAATAGGGCAATAGATGTGGGTTAGCATCGACGACTGGCACGAGGATCCTGATATCATCCACAAGAAACTGACATAACTTCCCTATCTATCTCATTTTTCGGAAACCCAAAAAATAGAACAAGGAGATTTCAGAAATCGCTACAACTCAAACCATGGAAAGGAGGTCGATAAGTTACGGATTGGCGATCTCCCGGTCCGAGTGTATTAGATACGAGGGGATTTCATGGTAAGGTAGCATAGCGTAAGCGTTGCGAGAGACTCATTTCCACTCTAAGCAGCAGCCCAGAGATGTAGTAGGTAGTGTATGGCTGCGAAGGACTCTCTAGCAAGTTGAGGCTCTCGCAATGTCTGAAGGGAAAGAGAGGAGAGGACGGGATGGGAAAGGAGAAGCCGGCAAGCTTGTGTGTCAGATTATTGGCGGAATACTTAAGTCATCTATGTAGATGAATGATACCCAGGCGTTGAAGATCCCATGAGATGATGATATATGCCTTACGTGATAGTGATGATGCATCTACCTTAGATACAATCGTGTTCTGAGTTCAACTAGGTTAGATAGGTCAGACGGTAAGCTTGTGGCCCAAGGTTGTTGCTGAGGCTACAGAAGAAAAAAACCAAGGAGGCTAAAGACTTATAGCATGGTAACACCAGCAAGGTAACACTCTACGTGATGTAAACTCGTATCAAGAACGGATCATGGAAATATAGTTCACGTTTTTTATAATTCGTAGTTATATCAACTACTTATGTCTGTCCTATCTGGTACAGTGCTATATGCCTTCTTAAAACGCAAAGGCCTTTTCAACTGAAAAGTCGCTGTGGGGGGTATATATCGCTTATAAATATTCACCAGAAACAAACACCGCCGTTGGTTTTCCTTCGTCCCGGAGTCTGCCAGCCGGAAGGGAGAAACGATAAATGAGGTAGATGGTGTTCCTCATTATCCTTCTTTCTCTTCTCCCGTAAACCAAATCATGGAGCTTCCTGTTTGCTCTGAGGCCCCAAACTTTTTTTTTCCCGTCCTCCTTTTCCTATGTCGTTTCTCCAGGGTTCATGATGTCTGCCTGCTTGCCTGCCTGCTCATACCCATAATTGATTGAGTATGATGATGCCCGAAACTCCGATACGCCTTGCTTTCCCGTGATGATGGTGATGAAGTAGAGAGATGATGGAGTATAGTATTCAATGTGTCGAAAAAAAAAATATACCGTGGTGAATTAATAATCGTCGTTTATTTAGCGGGAGCTGTTGCGACTCTTAGCGCCGGTGGCTTATGCGGCTCCATATATTGGACAAGCTACCTGAGCTGCTTGAGCTGTGCTGGCTGGAAGCATCGCTGCCCTTGCGGGAGGTGCTAGAGCCGTTGGCATCGTAGACATTTCCGGCGCCGCCCCGGCCGACGTAGCCGACGGGCTTCTGCTCGATGTGGCTTTTATGGGTGAACTCCTCGTCGAACGATAGAACAGGCTTCGCGGCTGCGACGTGCGCGTTGCCTGCTCCTCCTCGCCCGGAGTAGAAGCGTGATGTGGTGTGTTGAACTGATGTCGGCTTTGTCGCCACACCGGATGAGGGTGTAGTGTTAGGAGCCCGAAAATAGTTACCAGCGCCACCTCGTCCCGAGTGGGTGTACGAGTTCTGCGGGATGGTTGGGTGAGGCTCGATGATAGTGAGGTCAGGCATCTTGGACTACTCTTGGGCAGCAACGAGGTTGATACGTCTCCGGGATTTGTGAGCTTAGGTGGATGTTTTTTCCGTTGGGAGGCTTTTGTGATGAATGATGGCAGCAAAATAGTATAATAGATCCGAAGATGGGTCAATGGGATGGAGGGCATGGGCTTGATATACACATTTTTATCATGAGGACCAGGGGAGCAACCCCTTTGTCATAAATTACACCGTAGTTCTCGAGAAAGTTCCAGGTTTGCCGCACGTGGCACCAGGACGAGAGTTTAGGAACAAAGCCGATCATGATCCGCAACTACGTACTCGATCCTAGATTAGAATAGAATCCCATTAAGGAAAATTTTTCATGGCCCCAAGAGGATGGCATAAGGCAGGCGGCGCCACGCAAGACTTCGTGTGAAGCGCTAGGCGAGGTTGCCGGCGCAGCTCGTCGCGTGGATGACAACATGGTCCAGTCGAATTTTGCTTCCTAGGGCTGGTAGACTCAGAAAATAGGACCAGACAGGCAAATTCCGGTGTACTTAGACAGGAAAACCCATCGTCTTGGCGGGACCAAATCGTAAGGGAAACATGTATAGTAACATGTATAAGTGGAATCTGGGGTAACCGCGTGATGGATTCCATTAGCAAGGAATTAGCTAACAGGAGCCCTCAGACTGGCAAAAGTTGATGTAGTTACGAAATCGCGTCTTAGGTAAAGGCATCATGAGACCTGCAGAGGAGTTTTTTGTACCTAACCATTACCCCATAGTTTGCTCCCTCGCCGCTAGACAGGGATTCGTGCAGGATGGGCAAGAATGGGTTCTCGGTGGTGCAATTGGTGGTGTAATTGGTCTCGCTTCTGCTTTTGGACGAGTTGGAATCTTGTTGGCTGGTCTAGTACGGATCCGTACTCATACATAGGTAGAAACAAAGATACGGCAAACGTCATGCTGTACATATATTTATTTAGGTATGTACATATGTAGGTTAGACATGTGTAGGACGAATCAGCCAATCCTCAGTCTTCACCGTGTAAGTCCATGTAAGTCCACTGCAGGTACGGGCGTTGATCGAAAAGAGCCGCTACAATTCGTCAACCAATAGATCCAATGCCTGGCTACTTTGATTGGTAGACGACAGGCTGAGATCAATTAAGGACCAAATCTCGCCATATGCTTATATTCTAATAGGCGATTTGCCATGTCGAGTATGTCCAAGCCATGCTGGCTTCAGCACCCACCGGCCACCTCGCTATAACTGCTGTGCTGTCGACAGCATTACGTTTTGCCAGCTGAAGCGAACTGCTGCGACGTATGTGCATCTCCGAGGGACGATACCACAAAGAGCCGGGTCTCGTCGGCATCACGATGAGCAAGTGGCAAGCAAGGAACCAAGAACCACTACTCAGTTATTTAATTAATAAACTTTTTATGTGCCACTTCATCCTCAAACCGCGTAAGAGTCCAGGACAGCATCCACAAATGAATGTGGAGTTGGGAACAAGTAGAAAAAAAAGAAGGATCTTCTCGACCCTCTAGCGCAACGTTCTGAGGACCACGATGGGCAGGATAGGTGACGAGTAGGCTATGTTACTTCAGACCAGCTGACCACTAAGCGGTAAGTAAAAAGGATAACACGTCGTGACCAGAAAATTTTAGGAAATATTTTATTTCTTGGGCCAATTCAACCAATTCAACCAGCGGCAAATTAAACCTACTATGTAGTATCTATTATTCCGTCCGTGCATATTCTCAATATAACGATGCCGAGACAAGCAAACGTGTATTAGGAGAGGTATGGATATTATGGCTCATTAACTACCCTTCCATTGTGAGTCCGCTCTCATATTTTCAACTCGGAAATCTCGTCGGACGTCTCAACTGCAACCTAGCCTTAGATGCGACCCCAGTAAGGGTGGTTTGACTTATTAGTTGTATATGCTACGTGAGGTATGAGTATGCCCTATAATGACCTGAAGTCAATGTAGACGCAATGGAAACGATCTCACTCTAGACATTTCGTTACCCCTGATGAGCAGCGTGCCTTCGAATAACTGCCATTGCGTCTTCGCTTACTACTTTCGCACCATGGCTACCTGACATCTTATTATGGCGTCAACCAATTCAGCTGCATTTATACACTGCCATTAAACTGACATGTCATTCCTCTTCCCACTTTTGTGCGGTCGATCAAACTGACAATCGCCATTCTTTGATCACGATTCGATGGAATGTTGCAGCTCTTGGTGGAGTAACCACACTTTACCCCAGACACAACTATGGTGTCGTCTCTCGTCGCCTGCTTACCTGGAACCATCAATCATATCGACGAGTACATAGGTTTGTTCCCAGTCAAAGCAATTCATTTAAAGACCCAAGATCGTAAATTTATACAGAAGTTCCATTAGTGAATCTCCACAAGAGCGTACTCCTATCACAGAACAATAAACTTTCCAAGAGTTTGACAGCATATCATAATATTCGTTATTGAATTATAAATCAAATTATAATAATAAATCAAGCAATAAACTCCGCTTCCATCTCCGTGCATTAGGTACGCACGTAATTACTGGTGAGGAGTTACAATTCGTGGGTTTGCCGATTTCAAGACTTTTGACCTGATCCTCGTAACAACAGAGCGAAAATTAGGGTAACTATCCATTCTATCAGGAAGTGGTTATCCAGTTTCTATCGTAAGGATGGGTTTTCCACATACGACGGTCAGAGGCAGCAATTCGTGTTTCTATATGTCTGATACCACGCATATCCGCTTGTAGCTCCTCCATTTTTGCCAATTCTTCTAGATAGTGCGAAAAACTTGGGTATATCCGAGTGCCTGTCTTCCTTACATTATTTTCCACGACAATCCAACTTTTCTGGGACTTCATCATCACAAATGGAGAAATGCATCCAAAGTGTTCGTTAGAATAACGAGAAGCTTCCTTCTTAACATCATCGGATACAATCATGTGGGCTAATAGAGGCTCCCAGAACTCGGCTATTCGCCGACAATCTTTAGGTCCGATGAGGCATACTCGATCAAATATCTCTATGTGTAGCACACGCAATGGCAGCATGAGGGATTCAATGCATTCTATCTCGGAGATGATGGCGTTGAGAGCAGTTCTTCCGATCAGGCATTCTACAAAGGTCCGTGTTTCAAGGCCATTCTCATCCCATCTAACTCCTTCTGCGTTGTTAAATTGTAAGAGCGGCCCATTCTCGTACGTGAAAAAACTCGACATGTTGTTGAGTTTAAGGAAGGCGAAATAGTCACGCGGAAAAGAGGTTTCGCCGAGGACTTGAATTAAAGATATAATCTCTGCATCTGAGGAGCCATGACCCAGTTTCCAGTCGTTCTGGTAGCGTTTCCGCATGTTGCATGTATCGAATCCGGTTGCGATACGGCTCAGCAATCTCGCCATTCTGTTAATGCTAGTTGTCTTCCATTTACCGGGGGGTAGCTGCATAGGCAAAAGTACTTGTCGAAGAGCTTGTGGAGTCACTGGAGTGTATACCCGTGGAGCAGGAGTTTTCGGGGCTATTCTACAATAGATCCCTATGGTAACGATAAAGAGAATGGTAAGAACCAAGATAGTTCCTTCTATTGCCATGATGATTATATTGGCCCAAGGGCATATGGTTATAATTAGGCCTCGAGGTAAAACAATAGAATTGCAAAAAGCTTACATACGATCAATAGTAATTAGGAGGTTGTTAAATATTTAATAACGGTCACGATTATTCTCTTAAATTAGGACCTCATGTCCTTATTTAAAGTCTTCCTACTATCCAAGAACATAGGCCTGGAAACCTACCTATTATTATTCCAGTTCCTCCCAGTCACAAAACTAGTTTAGAGACCGCTGGAATCTTCGGGTACCAACTTACATGGCCTTAGCTATAATATATCTTTTCAAGACACCGGAAAATATTCTTTATGTGAGGTATTGTAATCTAAGAGATTTGGGGTTTATATCATAAAGTGGTTCTAGAAAGGTAGGGAATGACTTCGTTATTCTACAAGGAACTTTGGCCGCAGCTACAGAAACCTGTGAACAGGACCACCAAAAGTAGAATCTATTTATATGTCTTGTTTATAATCACATCGGCTCATATAAAGATTTTACTTAGACATAAAGCATCATTGCATCTTATAAGCAACGCTTGAAAGCACATTGGAACCTTGTCAACATGTTTAAAGGTAGACAGTACAAATACTTCTGTGCCGTGTAAAAGTAGTGGTACAGTAGAATATTGTATTTAATTGTATAAAATTCGAATAGTTCAGGCAAAGACAAGCAAGGTGATCTGGCTCGGGATTACACCAGGATTTAGAAATACACGCTCCCAAATTTTATAATAATTCATGAGATAAAGCTATTAATACCTTGCCCTATAACAATGTATAGGTACTTCGATACTTAGATCTCTTTCCCCCTTTTATAATCTAACTAAACGAATTGTAATTCTCTTAGAAATGAAATAAAAAGGGTTATAGGGAGAAAAAGATTAATATTCGGTCTCATTAAGAAGTCTGCTTACTACGGACATTTCCGTGGTATAAATATCGGTATTTGTGATTAATGTTTCATCCAATGACCAATGGGAGTTTGGCCGAGTGGTTAAGGCGTCGTGTTTAGGTCTTCCAAAAGAATACCATATAACCCGCGATGGGAAACCGCGCAGGTTCGAATCCTGCAGCTCTCAAAGACTTTTCTTTTTGCTCGCCCACTTGGCGCGATATTAGAGCGCCTGGTGGATTCATTTTAGTCTTAGAATCAAATGATCCGATTGTGTCGAATTTTTTGGCGTTGGCGGTAGGTATGCAAAATCTTGGCCTTTTTATTCGAAGAACGTGGGCTCTGGGCGAATAAAACCCCACATTCAATGCTATTAAAACTAGTGCTATACCAGTAATTATTATATAAGAAAAATGGAATATACTGGAATAAAATTCTACGTTTAAATTCCTACTGCATAAAATCAATTTGTCGTATCAATATTTCCATCTAAACATAGTTCAAGCTGTAGACGCATGGAAACAATTCGAACTTATCTGTCTGGATAGCAGACGATCCTAGAATTTGTACTCTGTCGATCACCCCTTTCTCATCATCTTCCATCTTGAACCATCCTTGGAAAATAGCTTGCCTGTTATGGTCTCGCAGTCTCTATAAATGTCAGAACTAAAAGCAACGCGGTAATAATATTAACTGAATAAACTGGCTAAACCACCTAATAAAGTGTCTTCAGACGAGAGCGACGTTGTAGTCTACTGTGGACCTCAGTATGTCAGTAGCAGGCCGCTACACCATTCGAGAAATCTCAGAAAGTAGGATGGACGAGATCTACGCACGTATAAACGAGTATCGGTATGCCAGTACGCGCCGACTTGGGCGTCCAGTTTATCCCGATCGCCGTAGTCCACCAAATCGCACGCACCCCATTTCCGCGCGGATGCCTCCTTTTCCGCGGGAAACTTGTTCTCTTGCTTGTATTCGTAGACGATCATGTCTCTGACCCGCCTCGGGCACAGTCCGCCGAATCGAAAACAGCCATCGGGGAGCGGCAAATGGCTGTACTCGTCAGCAATACGAAGAAAGATCTAGAATTGATGTGACTTACGCGCAACCCGGTATCTGTATTTCCTTGCCGTTCTCTGCATGGACCTCAAACCAGAGCCTATCCTCAAACTTCCCTCTGCGAGGAATCTCCCCGGTGATAATCGCGACTGGCCGAGCAAACTCTTGGATTATTCTCATCGTGGGACATTGGGGCGGTCCAGTCATATCGAAAACCAGAGTGTTGTCATCGATATACGTAAATTGCTGGTGTATACCGTATCTTGGATCGAGAACGGTAAACTTACAAAGATGTGGCGGTAACGTCTCGAGAGCTTTCTTATGCTCGTCTCCATATTCGGGATCTGCAGTATAGAGTGGAATATCCTCCTTGCCCGTCTTCTTCCTTAATAGCTTAACTAGTGAGATGGCGGCAATATGCTGGGCGATATTTCGCGGCATGATGATATTACACTGCCTTTGTGTATTACCGGAATTTTGCTCCGAAGACTGTTGATTGGGGCGAGAGTTTGGCATAAGTATACGACCCAGTCCTAAACAAACTACCCTTTTAATTTTCTCTGGATTGGGTATGCTATTTATAGCCTGCTTGAATTCACGAGCCCTGGTGTTTTTATCGCACTCCCACCTTTTCCAAGCCTCGTCAAGGGTTTCCTGTATATCTTTTGCCTTTACAGTATCGAGACTCTCAATGAACTTCCGGGTGCCCTTCAAATATGGTTTATGATATTTGGCAATGAAACTGTTTCGTGTTAGTAATTGTAAACGGTGTTTAACCCTTGCTTGGTGTTGATATTGGTAGGAAATTCTGAACATACTCTTCTGCGCGTTCTTGAGCAATATCAATATTTGGTTTCATCTGCTTAGGGGGGCAATTTGCCTGAACATTTCGATAGCAGTAAAGAATAAACTCGTGGGGGTCTTCATACTCCTTCCCTCTGATATCTGAAGCGCAGAACATGTACCAATTACATCTCTCGACGATTTTTTTGTTCCTTTCTGGCGAACCCAGCGGAAGACCTTGAATTTCCTCCAATTTCAGGAAGTCGGTCTCAAGGCCAAGATCCTCATGTGTAACCATTATGCCAGTAGAGACGTAGATTCAGAAAAGCGATACGTGTCCACGAGAAAGTATCCTCAGATTTATTGCCTCAAGCTCTTCCAACTTCATGCAATCCGCCGCAGAATTACTTAAGTAGAAAAAACTTAGATTCTAAGGTAAAACGTCTATCAGGTAGTCACTAGCAGCTTGATGTCTAATAATTACACAGCAAGTGATTGCATATGGCATTGAATGATTGTCAGCTCTAATAAGATAGGTTCGGATTCACAGAAATTTCGATTGAGACTTAGCTTCAGCTACGTAGAACCGTAGTAGTGGTGATAACGTGCTAGCTGTGTTACTGATTTGGAAATCACCTGGAGAGCTCATTATATATTCGCAGCCTCATCTGAACGGAACATTCTAGACTTAGCTACTGCATATGACCTGCAGCCTACGTCGTTCTTTTGACTAATTAACATATTCTTGTCAGCTTTCTCATGTAAAACGGATCGTCCCCACTTCGGATTCATGCCTGACGCACTCTCTTTTAGCCATATTCATCGCCGCCATAGGTATATGACTTGCAGAGCCTGCTTGTGTAGATATCAGCTCCTTTAATGATATAGGTGGGGCACGGGATCTTGGATATGATGGCCTCGGACATGACAGGAGGTTATTTATAAAGATTTGTCCGTAGTAAAGCTGATACGAAATAGGGTAATACGTGGCTCAAATCCATTCACTACACATTGTGTAGTGAATCAATAAGCTGAATTCTACCTCTTGGATGATGGCTGGGAATTAAATAGACCGCGTTGGTGCAACCTCGAAGCAGCCTGAATCAGCCTTCCTCAAGTTTACAGCGAAGGTGATGTCTTGTTACTAATGGGCGACGAAGCTTTAAACCAGACGAATAGTTTAATGCAAAAGCTGTTTCTCGAGCCGGTGACGTGGCTAAGCATATAGTAGTGTAAATATTAATGCTAGGACGATACACCTGTTTTGTACCCAATCGGGCCAATTATGATTCTATGTACGCTGACCCTGTATTAGTATCAAACAGGTGTCATATATACCTAACCTAGGGACTATAACAAGTCCAGCGTTAGTTGAGACACACAACAGCTGAAGATAGACAAGGCACGTATGATAAACCTATAGGTAAATTGCCAATCTGTACGTCTATAACCTAATACCCTAACCTTTCTCTCCAGAAAGCAGCCCCTTTTTTTAAGTCCCCAGACATACAAGATCTGCGTTGTCTATGGCAATTTTACTCGATAACTATAATGCAAACCAAGAAAACCCAAGCCCCAACAAATCCACCATAAACCCACAGACGCAGAGCAGCTGAAACCTGAATCAGCCCACAAGGACGTTATGAGACGATTTGCACACCGTCCGATGACGGAGGAGTGGCTGGCTTATTTGGCAACTCCGATACACGCAAAGTATTTCTTAAAAGCCTGAACCTCGACACTGAAAACGCCGTCCCGGTCGAGGAGAGCTGCCGGCGGCCAGAATTCGGGTTCAACGCGGTCGAGAAGGCCGGGGTAGGATGTGAGACCCCGAGGTTCGGTCACGCCCCACGGGTTCCTGATGATGATGTACTGCTGCTATCGGGGTTAGCTATGTATATGCTAGAATTTCAGTGGTTCGGCAATGTCCCGGAAACAGCAGCTCTCCGATCGGCTGGGAAAAGGGGGGGGTATATAAAGGTACGTACGTTATCCTCCTGGCCCTCGCTGACCCAGCCCAGGACCGAATACGCGTGGTTAGCAACCAGGTTGCTTCCGCGGAACACTATAACATCGGAATCAGCATCTGTCTCTCCCTATCTCTCTCTCTCTCTCTCTCTCTCTTCCAACGAAAACAAGCCAAAAAAGGGCTTGGCTCTCGGGCGAAACCCGCCACCGCCTCATTGACCGAGAATTTTTCAGGCCGACCGGAAAAGAAGGGAAAAGAAAACTCAGGGCATTACGTACTGTCTCCCGTGGCGTGCGTCCACGCAGCCATGGGGCTAATAGTGCGCTTGTTAACGCTGCAAGAGCGCACGAGGCCTACGAGCTCAGACCCGGAGTGGCGGTCGGTGAAGTAATAACGGGGCTCGCGGCCGTTAATTTGGGCCACTATATTAATCAAGCACATATGATGTTAGCGGCTGTTTTTTTTGTTTTGTTTTTTTTTGTTTTTGTTTCTCGACTAATACGTCTGAAGGGGGTTAGGCTGGTCTTGGGGGGCTGGAATTCCCCGACTTGTCTGTCGGTGCGGGCCGAGAAAAGGGGGAGGGGAAAAAGAAATATTAAATATGGATGGGATGGATGGAATGGGTGACTACGCACTGGCCTTGATTGGGTCGCCGTTGTGAGCCTGCGTCATGTCGACGCGGCCGCGGTCCTCAGAACGCGTCATCCACTTGATGAAGGCCTTCTCGTAGAGAGCGGGCCAGGTCTCGTAGCCGTCGCTGGAGCGCGAGTAGATGGGCATGTCGGTCGAGTTGTTGACGGGGATCTGGTAGTCGACCTCGACGGTGTCCGTGTCGGCGTTGTTGCGGCCGCCCTTGTCGTGGAAGCGGACGTTCAGGGTGCGGCGGCCGCGGTCCATGGGCCCAGTCATGGTCATCCGTGTGGATCGGTTGATCATGGCGGGGTTCGCCCAGAACACGGAGAAGATGGCTGCGATTAGCCAGCTGTTGCTCGAGGCTCCCTGGGTCGGGTCGTCGAAGCGGTGCTGGTATTGCTCCCGGAATTGGTGGGAGTTGCCGTGCATGGCGAAGGGTGGGCCGTCCATGAAGCGACGTGGGATGTTCCGGAAGATGACCTCGTTCATGTCGCGCCAGGAGCTGTTGGGAGGAGACCACGAGTGGTCTTCCTTTCCGTGGCGGAAGGGAAGCACGAGCTCGTTGATGGTCTCGGTAACATCGCGGTTACCGATAGTCTTGCCGAGAGACTGGCCATCGAGGACAAGACGGAGCTTGCCGTTCTGCATGCGAGCCATCTTGATGCGGACGTCGCCGACCTCTTTGAGGCCGATCTTCTCGAGGTCGTCAAGCTTCTTGACGCGGGACAAGTCGGGAGTGACAAGGTCGCGCTCCTCAAGGATCTGCATCTCCTTCTCGGAGATCTCCTCGGCTTGGCGGTTCTCCTCGTTGAGCTTGAGGCCAGCAAAGAGCACCGAGTTGTGCTTCAGGTCGAAGAGCTCTTCGTAGTCGGTCTGTAGGACATCCGAGAGGATGCGCGCAGTAGACAGAGCATGACGGTCCAATCGATGGCCGATCATGGCCTCAACCAGGGCATACGGGTTGATAGCACCAATAAACACATCCTTGGGCGGCTCATCAGGAGAAGGTTCCTGGCCAAGGAGAGGGCGGTCATCCCTCTCGTTGCCGAGGACCTCGTAGTCCTCGGACATGGTCCTAGAAGAAATAGAGCGTCGGTCGATCTTGTGGCCCGTAAGAGCCTCAAACAGAGCAAAAGCATCAATGTTGCTTGGAGCTCCACGAGGGGATTCAGAAGGAGATCCAGAGGTAACCATTTTGAATTTAGGAAGTGGTGGTAAGTTATTGGTATTATACGGATGTATGAAAATTAAAAGGTAAGCTGATGAATTATTGAATGAGCCGCTGTTGCTTGGTGAGAATGGAATAATCTTGAGGTTGACTGGTATATTTATGTCTTCACTAATATCAAGGACACATGTTTCTTTCACTCCGTAGACAACGTGTTCAAGCTCTCGTGCCTTCACTTACCTAGTATCGACGAGGCCGAATAGAGCGCATAATGCAAAAGCCGAGTATAAACATGAGGCTCTCCGCGTAGACCTACGGACCCCGCAAATTGCCTGGACTCCAATCCTAAGTGAAAATAGGTTATATTACGTATCTTCTAAAGTGTCTATTTAAAAGGTTAAAGATCGCAGCAGTAGAGAGCTGTTGGCATGATCTGATACGGACATATTCTCTCCTCACTGTCATCCCTGTAGGTTTTTGCTTGTTCTTGTTTTTGTCCTGGACGACCAAAACTGTCAGGGTGAGCTATCTCATGGGAGAAATGGCTATTGTAAGAGACTTTCGGATGAGTGATTATACATGTGTTCTCTAGAAAGAGTACAGAAGAACTCTAGAATACCATGTGTCCAGCACCGTTATAGCACCGTTATAGTTAGGTGAGTGCGTGTACCTACCTAAGTAACTAAGGAGGCTCTGCAGTCAAAATGGAGAATGAGCGGCGGACTCCTAAAAGTATCTATATTTGCAATGACCCTAAAGGACTTAATGGTATGCCACCTTAAAGCTTAATCCACTATCGGGTTCGCGGGGGGCGGACAGGGAAATAAGCTTCAGACCATCCGGTATGGTTAAGGCGCCTTGAAGTCGTCGATGTTGGTCTTGGTCTAAGATCGTTCCACTGGAGTTCAGCTCTATGTTCACAGGAATTCTAGGCTGACACTGAGCTGAGCTGATATTAGACTACGGAGGAAAACCGCCCCCTTTCTAGGTTTATGGCACACACACATGGCAGGTAGTTCTATACGAGCTTGTGTAGAAGCTCTGGTACTTTTAACTGACGAACTATTCTACCTATTATATTATTTTCCTCTTGAAAATCATCATGGTACAATATTGGATAATAAGCTCACACTAATACAATCTATAGACGTATTATAATGTTCCTAGGCTATTAAGTGACTTCTTAGTAGGTAAGTCTGATGGCGGATACGCAGTTTAGCACCGCCCGGGCTCGAAGACATAGGATAAGTCGTCTGATGTGAAATTTAATTCACCGTCGAAACCTACCTAGGTATCCAAGGTATAGAATACGAGACGAAGAGTCAGTTCCACCATCTAGGTACTCCCGTGCGTTTAGCTTACCGGGTACCTGAACCTTGAGTTGCTCAATAGCCTTTTAATTACCCCGTTGTAACCCGAATTTCAAGACCTTAGGTCCCGTATTACAAAGAGCAGGCAAACAAGGCTACCTAAATTACTGCTGAACTATGTCTCGGGTAGGAATGTATGCTCCTTTTCCTTTACGAAGTTACAAAGCGTGTTACAACTTAGCAAGGTGAAATAGGGGTAACCAATACCGGGAAATCCTTATTAGCTCTCGAAAGAAAGAAACATGGCTAATTACGAAGAACCATTGCCGGAATCTACTCGTAGAATATCACCAAAGCAGAAACTCCAGTGAGCAAGTGTCCGACTTACATATGAATCGCTCTATATTGAGATAATACAACCTTAGTACCGTTTGTGTCAGGTATTCGCTTCCTTTATAGAAAAGGACTCTAGAAGCTCTAGAGCCCTCACTGCTGTTTAATCCACAAAATACATAGAGCGCTTTTGGCAGTATATCCGTCAACCCGACTTGATGTCGACGCAAAATAACACGAACAAGTCACAGAAGTAAACAAAACACTGTTTAAAAATCGTGACGTCTTCAATAACAGCTAAATCGCTGGTAATGATTATGTCTCTATGCCTATGCCAGACCAGTGAGCCACTCACGTTTGCTCCGACTATAACAGCGTCAGTATGAGCTGTATTTACACCATAAGGCGCCCCGACCAACAAGTAGGAAGTAGATAGGACCGCCTGTTCCTAATGAGCCAGTTAACTAGGTACCCAAGAAGCAGTTCCTCCGTTCGTTGGTTCGCTCCATCCACTATGCAGAAAAGGTTTCGGCCGAGAGTAGTTAAGGTATCCGTAATGTGTAATTGGTTCGGATGAAGAAATGGGAGAAAAAAAAAAGGGGGAGGGATATCAGGATGACAAAGAAAAAACATGAATTGATAGTAACAGTGATATGATGTAAGTGCTAGAACGCCGCGATGTAGTAAGTAACCGTAAAGCAAAGAACCCTTGGCCGACAAATCTATGAACCTATGCCATGCCCCCTAAGACGAAAGGAAGGAAAACAAAAATATTCATCGTAGTCTCATTGCGAGGTGGTGGTATGTGCAAATGCGTCCATCCTCGATGCCTGTTGCATGACTGTTTACTCCGTCATATGCTGGATGTTAGCGAAACATCATTTTGCTCATTAATATTCGTGCCCCTTTAGGCCCGTCCAAATCCACCTCCTTCATCTTGTCTTTTGTCTTGACTCCCCCCCTGGTGGTGGCAGTTTCTACCAGCGTCCAACCGGAACAGGCGCGCCATAATTGCCAGCCATTAACTGGTCCAGAATGGAGCTTTGGTTGGCGGGCGTATTCGAAGCGGTGTTGCCTGAACTTCCACCGACCCATCCGACATTCGCGGCCATAGAGGAGATAGCAGCACCCAACCTGCCACCCGATTGTAGATTGTGCTTAGCAAGCTTTTGGTCCCAACCGCCCGAATGCAAGAGGAAGCCGGCCCCTTTCTTGGAGGCTTCATTGATAACCAGAGCCCAGGCTTGTGATATTTCGTAGTAGACGTTCTCTTTATGATGTCGGTGGCTTTGGCTTTCCCAGTCAGGCAAGCTGTGTACTACCTTCGTGGCGCCATGTAGATATTGTAGCGAGAGGTTGGCGCTTGTCTCGTTAGGCGGAAGGAATTGGTGTGTGAAGTCAGCAAGGGCATCGATCAGCGCCATTAGTTGATGCTTGACCCGGTAGTATGTGTAGTCGGAACTCGAATCGCCGTAGGGGAACGCATCTCGTAGTTTGTCCTGATACTCCTTTAATACTTGTAGGGCGCAGTCGACGGAAGGCTTTGGAGCGCTTTTGACGACCTCTTCTCCAATTTCTGGTTGTCGCTCGCAGATCGTCTGTAGTACAGTTCGCAGTTGCGTGATGTCGAGAGTCTCGAGGAGTCGAGGGAGCGATAGAGGTCGCCCGGCTAATTCATTTGCCCGGACTTTCTTCGATGGTCTAGCCGCGAGCTGTCGTGATTGAGCAGCAGGTGAGTTGAGAGGCGAGACCGACATCTCATCGCCATCGTCGTCGGCCTTTCGCTTCCGGTTACTAGCCATGGTGTTATGAAAAGGAGAAACTATTAAACAGAATTGTTAGTATATAGTATATATTGCTGCCTGTTTGGATCTCCTTAGATGCAGACTAGTCGAGTCCGCAGCTCGGGATCGCACACAGCTAAGGGATATCAAGACAAGGCCCCACATGACTCGGAATAAGAAAGCTGAGGAATTAAATATATTCACATACTTGAGCGAGTAGGCGACCGTCTATTGGTCTCGTGTTGATGAGAGAAGAAAGACGGCGGTTGCGGCTGCGGCGATAACAAAACGTTCATTATGCTAGCAGGTATATTCCGTCCGAATACGTCGTGCTACCCGGTATCTTATTCCTTCCTCGACAACGGTGTTTGGTCGAGCTATGGCGATGTCGACACCACGCTGGACTGATCGACGGATCGACGATATGCTTGTCTGACGTACGGCGGAGTGGCGTCGACGATGGGAACAAACCGGAAGTGCAGGATGGGGAAGAGGTTGAGCGAGGAAGAGAGGAGAAACCACAGATAAATAAAAGCAGAGGGGAGAAAGTAAGAAGGTGGATAGAATGTGGATCGAAAAAGAATGTCGTTACTTGTGGCTACTTTTTATTCCGTCTGGTCATTAAGCTACCTAGGTTTTAAAAAAAGGGCGCCTAATATTGGTTGCGCATTGACGGGGGGTGTAGGTTGTAGCGCAGTCGTTTAAAAAAGTAATAAAGTAACAATAAACACCCAAAGGTGACTTAACAACAATTATTAAGTCTTGGGTCGACTAATCCCTTTGATTGAATGGGATTTGGAGGTTATGGAGGTTATGGAGGGTTTGTGTGTGCGTGTGGATGGTGTGGATTGGATGTTCTAAGGAAAGATAACTAGGTTAGGTACATACGCAAAGATGGCAGCAATGGTCCAGAAATCTGCCTTCCGCTGGCGCTGGCTCGGGCAGTCAAGGGCAAAAAGTCAGGCCCCAAAATCCCCAATGTATCTGGCAATGTTGTTGGTTCTCTCGACGCCAGCTGGTGGAGACAAGGTCTCCTGTAGCCGTAGTACCACTGTAGTAATACCCTAAGTGGACTAGCGGTACTAGACACTACCTAGTGAGGTTTGTACCTATGCACTTACTCTTTTGTCATCAATGGCCCGCACTAGTGCCTCATGCCTATGTATGTACTTCATGCAACTTCCCTTTACCATATTATGTACCTTACATCCTTACATGCCACCTTAACATGAGTACCTAAGGTACATAAGTAAACATGAGCGTACTTTATGAGTCCCGCCTCTAGCATCTTCTAGTGTATATATGCATAGTTATAATACCTTTAGTTAACTCAAAGTATGTTCGCTAACTAAGAGGCTTATGCATAAAACAGCAAAAACGAATACCTACATGTAGGTACCCTCGTCAAACTTACCTAGGTACCTACCTATGTACCTACCTACGCATTGTGGGGAACGCATCTCCTAAGGAAACAAGTCACAAGCTACCAACACAGCAACGGTTCAAGGGTCATCCCGTCCCTCTCCTTAATTGGCTATCGGTCAAAATCTAAGATCCTAAGAAAAGCCACCGTCAGAAACACAACGTGACCGCCTCTTTCTTACTGCACACATCATCAATTGCCTTATAAAGCTCTTACGCAGAATAAACAAAGGTACCTAGTTACACATTTTAGCTTCTTGAGCTTTCTATTGAAGCTTTTAACATAAGCTAAACATAGCATAAAGACAACAATGCTACCTAGACCTACACTAATATATTGCCAGTCATAGCCAAACAGCCGAGGCTACAGCTCCAATCCGTCTAGCCACATAACCTTACATATATGCGCTCCCTTAAGCCTTAGCGCTGAATCCGTGTGGCTAGAGATAGCACAATACATATTATGTGTTCCCACGAGAAGTCAACCGATCACGGCGCACGAAGACAACATCAGCTTTACAGGACTCATTACATTCACTATTAATTTAGCATTATCCACACCTATATACAACAACAATCTCCACCATGCCATCACATCGTCGCGGCTAACCCGAGGTTTCGGCCAAGAATCTAACTTTGCTTGTATCTAGCAGTGACTTAGGCATGCAAGAGCTTGTTATGCATTATTATTGTTCACGTCGAATTCTGCCGTCAAGCTCGGGTTTCTTTGCCCAACCAACAGTTGTTCTCCTAAAACGTAGTTGGCTGGCCTATTGTCTTATGAGAGCTGGATCCTCTGATCTCGTCATAAAAGAGTACAAACAGGAGACGACACCCGAGATTCTTATCAAGACGTCAGAAAGAAAAGAAACACATGGCCAGAGCCTGAATTTGGTCCGTAGGCTCAACTTCATAAGCACGTAGAGATGTGTGCCTGAAATTCGTAACCCAAAATATGAGGTATGTTAAATAAGAACTCTAGGAGGAAACGACTAATTAAGTGCATCAACCAATTCGAGCGTCGCAAGTCGCGCCGTGATGCCCGAAAGGGAACTTAGGTCGCCCGTTGCGGTTCGTCCGTGACTTGGTACTGGGGAGTTGCGACGGCTCTCCGTATCGACATTGCTCGTAGATGTATCGCGCGACTGATTTGCCCAACGAGAGGAATTAATGCCATGAACTGTCGGCGTACGGTCTGTAGAAGCATCCGTCTCCTGCATTGAGTTGGTACGTGGCACGAGGACTGCATCAGTCCGTATAGTAGACGCCGATGAGTTGCTCATTGCGTACGTCAAGGTATTGGCCTCTAGTTGGACTGATTTTACAGCGTCTCTGTTATGATACCTTAGTAGAGCCAAGAATTTGTTGGTTTTCTCTACCGTCTCCTCTTCAGGTCGTTCTTCTATTTCAATAAGTTTCTCTTCCTGTGCAGACCGTTGCTTTTCATGCACAGGTCGCGCATCTTCCAGATGCTTTTCCATTGGCTGTGAAGCCTTTGAGACGAAAGCATTGTTGCTTGTGGATGGCTGCTCCGTTCCCAAGCGTTCAGTCACTCTGAAGAAAAATTCGTTAAAACGGCGAACTCTAGGGGGGCAGGGGCGCGCGTATTGTCGCAACATGATCATCTCGTCGACCGAGCGAATAATCGGAGCGTTTCCATGTAGGATATTCGCATATAAGACTGCAATTGCCTTTCTCTGCTCGTCTTGATTCAGGTCCCCGAATTCCTCATATCGCTTAAGTTGCATCGTCGCGACCTGCATTGCCGCTTGTTTAATGGGCGCTATTGATGATGAACTATGAGCCCACATGAGATATTCCAAAAGGTTTCGGCTTATTTTTATCATGCGCCTGTAGTCTCTGGTTGTTAGGGAATAAAGTACGCGAAGGGAATCTTGAGACATCCCCACACCAGCTGTGATCGCTTCGATTGTCACAACGTCCTGCTCGAGTTGTGAGGTAGAAATAACCGTAGCTGTGCTGAAGCTAACACTATACTGTGTCGTAACTGATGGCGAAATGGTTTGAGATCGGGCGATCGTAGGGAATGTGCTTTTGATAGACGCTGCGATTACAGGCTCTCTTCGGAGACTAGCTGGCTCGGCATCGCCTATAGAATCAACTATTGACTGTTCATGGCAACCCAGGTCTATAAGGTCCATAGGAGACTTCGGTCTCTTAAGGGATTCAGGAGAACTAAGATCAATCAAATCTTCATTCGTGATCTCCGTGCTCGGGATAGGTTTAGGGGATGTAGGCTTAAGGGGTATAGAAGCCATGGTGTCGACTCTAGTGCGGTCAGTTTTAGACACATGATTCTCTGGAGCTTGTCCATCTCTCTTCTCCGAGTCCTTGCTGTCTGTCTCAATTTCCAGCTCGGGTACGGGCTCGGATTCACTCTTTTCCATGAGGATTGGTATGCGAGAATTCTCCTGTTGCTTCCGACAAGACTTTACTACTCCTTCGAACTTCTGCGCAGTTGAAATACTGCCGAATCGTATCTGACTCGATCGCACATCGGAAGCCTCATTATCTTGTCGTCGAAGATGAACGCTACTTCCATATTGGAACGGTTGCAAGCAGAGACGGATATCGCCTCTTGTCGCTCTGCCATTATTGATACTTAGATTCCAGATAACGGCACCATTCGGTCTTTCATGGAGGGAAACTTGGCCAGGGCTAAATTCATCTAGTCCAACGACAAGCATAATAGCAACATCTTCATCTCGGAAAATAACTCGACCTAGTTTAAGCGTCGCGGTTTGGATCAAATTCCCACCAGTGACATGAGTTTCACCGCTTTGATCAAGCGTATTGTGAACGAGTCCAGCTGGTCGTCTCTGGTGCGGGAGCAGAGTATTCGTTTGCTCATGCGGCATGAGAGAAGGTTGCAACCGCAGCGGAGCGCCACGTCCTAATACGCCTGGAGTAGGAAGTCGTTGCGATCTCACCTGGACCGGTGTAACGCGTCTGGTACCAGGTATATTGGGCATAGGGGTGAAGTGAACTGGGTTACCGGCTTGTTCCGCTCGTTTAGAGTCCCATCGTCTCACCTCAACCCCAGGTGGCACAATACCACCTAGTGAAGTTTCCCTATGTCCCGGTGGAAGGGGTTGGGAGAGCTGTTTTGGCTTCTTAAAATAACCGGGATTCCTGGTACTGAATTAGCATAGATTCTATATCAATTTTAGAGGATGAACAGTTACGTACAGTGGATCATATGTCGGAACATTCCCCTTAGAAGTAAAGGCCAGAGGCCGGCTGTTGTAGCCAGCAGGATTCCCACCGCCCCCGATTCCCGGTTTCGCTGCAACTCGGTTTAGGCGATGGGCATTCCCGTCATCGAGCGAGTCAAGATCTTTGACCGCATGATAATCGGAGTCGTTAAACAAACCCTCGTTAAATGCATCTATCGCAATTGATTAGTCTCGTATCAAGTAGTAGCAATGATGAGTATATCATATAACTCACTCTTCCAGCCCGCAGCAGGGTCATTTGCTGAAGGTCGTTCCTCGCGTTGCGTCGAGAGTGGACGGCGGTTCACTTGGAAGGTCTGACGACTCCGACGTCGATCTTCATCAGTATCTCTAGCAAGTTCTTCAAGACGAGTATTTCCGAGATCATTCTATTAATAACTAGAGTTAGCATACCACCCTTTCGAGTCTTAGGTAGATTAATTAGGGAAGACCTGCCATCATAGCGTCCATGATGCGCTGATCCGCCTCGCGCTGGGTCGGATCCGCCGATGAACCACCCATCGTGGGTGGTTAGTAAATAAAATCGGTGTTAAACACGATGAGTATATACCAAAGGAAGGAGGTCAACGCAACGTATGGCTGAGTTCCGGATTGCCTTGTCCAACGAAATACTAAAAAGAAACACGGCATAAACAGTTACCCGGCGACCTTAGTCCTTAATTACAGCGTTGTGCGAATGTGGGTAAGAAGGTAAGAGATCGAGACCTGCCTCAACTCAGAACCAAAAATGGAGCTTTGACGGTGAATGGCGTTGGTCAATAAGGCTTGAGGCAGGAGTGTTGTGTTGAAACCCAGTTCCGGAGAAACTCGAGTAAGGGTTGAGGCCCGGATCTAGTACCTGGGGATATGTTAGGCTGGGTACCTAAGGTAGGCTGCTCCTCGTAGGGTGTTTAGGTGCTTGGGTGCTTGGGTGCTTGGTAGGTAGTGAGGAATGGAAAAGGGAAATATGTAGACCAAGTGGGAAAGTGGTAAGGATTAAATACATGTACCTACCTACCTGCCTGGCATGTGTGAAGAAAAGAGGTAAGAAGGAAGGAAGAGCTGTAGGTTAGTCTTTTAGTCAAGCGCAACCTGAAAGGAAGCCACTTCCCTATCACCTATCACCACCTAAAGCAAACCGGGTCCAAGGTGAAAATTGGTTCACGTAAAATTCACGTATATCACTGCGGATACCAGAAGTGGCAGCGGATCTGGTTCTTATGAGGTTATGAGGTTATGAGGTTGATGCCAAATAACAAACAAATCGGGAAATGTGCCTGAGTGCATACCTCTTACCTCCTTGTCATGCACTCGAGATCAAGTTACTTAGGATACTCCTTAGTAGCAGAAGTCTAAGAGATGTCTGCACATGCAGAGGAAATTACATGGTTCGATTTGCGCGTTCATGCGGTATTATGTGGTGGCAAAGGGGAACCGAGAAGCGAAGATGGGAAAGAAAGGAGGTTTAATGCTATGTACCTAGGTAGCAAAACCAAATATACTTACATACCTAGGTAATTACAATGCCGCTTATTATCATGCACGATAAGATTTGATGTTATCTAGAATAGCCTGCGTATTTTAGGCATGTAGCCTACCGATGTGTTGATACATACCTAGGTAGGTAGTATGTCGGCGCTGTGTTTCTAGAGCATTCTTTCATGCACCTCCAGCAATCATCTTCTAAAACTGGAAAGGCAACCTGCCAGAAATATGATAATAGTAACAGTACCAACCGGGTTGCAATTATATCCCGTACAACTTACTGTTAAAGATCTAATACTTGATATTTCCTTCGTGCTTAGGTAGGTAGTTACCAATCATGTAAATATTTAAGATGATGCCTAATGCTAAGTCCAATACGAAAGATTCATATAGTTAATAGATAACTAGTACTAAGAAATATATATATGCACCTAGAGTATGAACTAGATTAGCTGGGTAGATATGTATGTGTTTGAAAGTGGTAATGCTGCCATTTAAACGGAAACCGTAGATCTATAGCTACTAAACTTTACTTGGCTATTTGTCCTTGTCGATGTTGTCAATGGTATACTAAACCCGTAGAGTCCAACTCTAGAAGTATAAGTGCCTACCTGGGTATACACTTTCGAGGTTGACGACCAAAAACATATGGTCATGCGAGAATATCAAGCTCATCCTCACATACGCTAAGCTTTGCAGTTCATAAAAGGAATTATATGTGTATCAGACCTATTGATAGAGTAGTTCAATGTGGTTTCATATAGCTCTCTATATGTATTCCCTACCAGAATTGCAAGTTCTAGACCAAGAAGTTCCGTAGCTACTAAATTGGAGCAGTGAGCTTTAGGGGATAGGATATTGACCGCCTTTCATATACTCTAACCTTCGTAGAATTCCTCGATAAGTAAGCTGATAACACAGAGAATGGGTGATGATGAGTGTGATACAATTAATATGTGTAACTGTGATGCTGTATTGAATGGCGAGCCAAAAGCACACCAAGGGTGAAGCGGAACGAAAAATAGGAAACTATTTTACATAAATCATATAAGTGCTAGATCAATCACCCTACTCCAGCCCATTGCTAATACGATTGAACCTTGGTCAATTCAACTTAATCCCAGCCAACGGAGGCCGAATTATGGCGTAGGATATCGTAAGAAACCCCTTTATACCAGACCTGATTCACCCTGTTTTGAACGACTCCAAAGCTTCGTGGTCTTTCTTCTCATACCTGTCTTCTCCTGATCCGATCCCGACTTCTTCTCTCCGACTGACCTGGTCGTTTTATCCACTCTACTCGACTTAGTCTTAGAGCGCCTGCGATCATCTACCACCATATTTTTGCTGGAATGGTTTTCTCGTACCATGGATAAATTCTTGTGAACGCCAAAATACCAGAGGCACAACGCTACTAGGAAGATAGTGACAAGCAACGATATGGCCTCAGCCACAACTTCAACTTGTTAGCTTATTAAGAAACTTAGAGGAGGAAAGCCAAGGCTCGATGCTTACCAAACCAAATCGCAACGTACTTCGTGGTGTACGCGGCGGTCGGGTCTATTCCGTTTCCTCCGTCGAGTTGGTATTGGTTTTTGAGGAAACCCTCTAGGGGCAGAGCGAATAAACTTGTTATAAAGGCTAATGGCGCGAATATAATTGTGATAACCGTAAATCCAATAACAGCTGCGCTGAGAATCAACCCGGTGCGAGCATCCCTTATACTCGCGTACGTCCGCTTCATATTCAGCTGATTCTGAATTAGATTCTCGATTCTCTCTGCGTCTCTACCAATTTTGGAAACCCGCTTTTGAAACCCATCGACGTCTTTTGCCGATAGTTTCAATTTCTCCCATCTTCCCTCGTTATAGTTTTTTTCAACACCAACACACTTCTCTGACATATTACGAAATTCATGATTCTCGATATCCTGAATTAAACTCCGGAGAATTTCCTTTTGTTGATCCAGGATTTCCTGTACCATTGCTAGTTCCTCTTTGACGTCGGCGATTCTATGCATAAAATTACGCTCTTTCTCAATATCTTCAGGTAGCAATTGCTTGTTTGGATCTGTATACGCTTCAACATCCGATAGAATTCGGACTACGCCAATCTCGAAGATATCAAGGGGCGATGGCAACTCCCCACCGGCCTGTGATTCGCCGAATTTTGAAAGGCGATTGGTTATAATACGCGCAGCGTGTAATGCAGAAATATAGTCAGAGTTTTCGTCTTCCAAAACCATTTGATCAAGTTTAAGTACTTCGGCTGTGTTCTCAAACCCCCCGGGAAACGTAGTTTCAGGAATTGGCTGGAGACGTGGTCCTTCTTCTGTGTAGGCAGTTAAAATGCAGTTTCCATCTTTCCACAGCCACAGCTGGGACACAATTAAAATAGGTCTCTCATTGTATTTAAGCTGTTTGCCACTGAGTGTTTCTACGCACTCTCTGGAAACCACCTGGTCATTATTTCGATGTGCAAGTGCTTCAGTAGAGAGGGTCGAGTAATAAGTCTCATCCAGTGTTTGCTCCACCTGTACTACACTCTGGGCGAAGTCATTAGGTATATTTAACCTAAACTTAAGAATATCCTCCCTCGACTGCATATGATTCTCTTTGGTCTGAAGTACGAGAAAGGGGAACTGTATTTGTTAGAATTGTATATTTTGAATACGTGTCCAAGTACATACCACCATAGATATATACGGTTTAGGGTCAGAGTATTTTGACTCGTATGATGGCTTACGGCAGTAAAGCTTCGGATTACTTAGGACGGGGGTAGCACCTTGGAACCACGAGCCATATATATCATCTGCAAAAAAAGAATGATTATATCGTCCGAGTTCCCTAAGAGCAGCCTGAAATATATTAGCTGCTAATTATCCGGAATCGTCATTAAAACGTACAAAGACTATGATACCCTATCAATTATTAGAATACCTAACGTTACATCGCGCGCTGCCGCAGACCTACTTACGTTTGTCCACGGAATATGACACCAGTTTACGCCGCCGCCTTCGAACAATCTGAAATCTGGGTGTATATCTAACTGCTTCGTAACAATGTTACCATGGGAGTCGTGAAAGGGCACATTTGTCAAATGAGGATATAATTGGCGTAGCTTCCAAAATGCGAAAAGTAGCATATTCCTTCTCCATCTATACCCGTTCGTATCAATCAGTTCTATCGGCATCTTATGGTCGAAATTTTCCATTTCGGCGTTGGCACCCATTATGAGTAAGTGCTTGATATGATGAAAATTGGAGTTTTTTACTGCATAGTGTAAGGGAGACCATTTTTTCTTATCCAGGTAGTTCAAGTGCTCTACGGTAAAGCAGTCGTGTTTTGATAGATACTCCAACAACTCGGGGCTCGGGTTCCGCAGATAGAAGATGGCATATCTATCAAAGATATCCCGACGCGTCAGGTCCGCGTTTTCTTCTTCGACCAGATATTTGACAATTAGCAGGTAATCTCGGCGGATAGCAAATCGAACAAGTCGGTTTATGTCGAGGTCTAAACCTAATGAGCGGCATTTCTGGATCACCGATTTTATCTCTTCTGGTGTCTCTAATTCATTAATTTCTTTCACTTTCGTAAATGTTAGATCATCACTATCAGTAATTTCATAATTGCGGAAGGCGTAGACACCTACGAAGCTCTTGCTTTTGTTCTTCAGTCAATCCATTTCTGGATTCACACCGAGCTGATCCCGTTTGCGATTGTTCTTCTGAAGGAGCGCTTGCTGACGGCGGGATATTCTCTATGCAGGAAGATAGAGATTCATCAAATAAGATATCCCCGCCGGAATTGAAAGGTGGAAAACCGATATATGCTCCTGTCGATGATTCCGCCATTATCCTTTCCTTGCCCTAGTGGGAGGTTGGGTAACTAAACATTATTTCTCTTACCAAATCTATATGTCGATAGGAAAAGTATTGGTGCTTTGAAGAGGCAGAGAGTGTGGGAGAAGAGTAGTAGCAGCTGAAAGCCGCAATGATACATGCCTAACCTAGGTACATACAGCTGGAGAGCCTGTCGCCCAATCAGTTTGAAGCGACTCGCAAAAATTGAAACTCTTGCATAATTTGCAACCCACCGATGTAACGAGATTCTAGAGCAAAGATAAGCTCGGAATTATAAGGAAGTTGTCAGGTTAGTAAGTTGGTTAAGTAACTTTGATTCAGTTAAACTATTGAATGATACGAGGACTTTCAAACATTTTTGAATTGTTGAACTATTTGTTGAACTATTTGGGGCAATATGGACTTGAGAGTGCAAGTCACAGTGAAGAGAAAAGGCCTTACATAGGTACCTAGGTAGATTATTCTTCATAGTAGTTAATTAATGACTATCTACATGTAAGTAGCTGACCGATGTCAAATTATTATGCAACATAATGCAACGCATATAAGCGTATCTATGCCATCCATCCGTAAATAACACACTCCCTCCGGAGATTATTCCTCCTGATATAATACAAACAAGTCCCAATAAAACATCTCATCATAACCCATTCATCCCCTCAACTCAACACACGACCCCCCCTATTTAGACCTGGCATCCTTGGGCGGGTTCTCTAGGTTATCCTTGCCCTGGCGGCCCACGCCGCTCAAGTCGACGTCCTTCTTGCTTGCGGGCTCACGCAGTCCCGACGTGGAGCCGGCGCCGGTAGAGATATCGCTCTGGACGCCGCCGGAGCCGACGTTGACGTTGCGGGCGTCGGCCGAGTTCCAGTCCGAGGCGACGGGGGGTTGGTCAGGTAGAGGGAGGTTGGATCGGACCTCCTCGACTTTGTCTGCCTTTGACTGAGTCATTTCTGTTGTGGCTATGTTAGTTTTGAGTTGTTTTCATGCCGTAAAGCTACATTTATTATAGCTTGATTAGGGAACCTACTGTTTGATAGTATGTGTCGTAGACAAGGTACGAATCTATCGTATGTTGTAGATCTTGTGATGGGAAGTATCGTTAAGTTTAGTTGGTGTTTCTTATGTGATTCTAATAACGAAAGAGGATGGAACAGAATAGACTGTTGGACCTCGATGCTTTAATATGTACGTCGGTTGTATATATGATATCGTCTAGGAGCTTTTGGTCCGGTGGCACAAAAGCCATCTTGACGTCATTCGAGGGGCTCTAATATGTTGAAGAGTTGACGTCACGATAGTCAATCTTAAGCTATCACAGTATAACACGCACGTGTGAATCTCTCGATTCTGGACATTCTTGGGTCTAGGAACGGGATGGCCCGCAGACGACGACGTAATCGACTAAGCAAACAAGAGACAAGAGGCTGAAATTGAAGCGGAATCTGCAAATCTGCAAATCTGCAAGTTCAATTTTCAGTCACAGCTTATTCTCAGCACTTCTAAATTATCAAGAGGGCACACTGCAGTGTTGGTTGGGTAATGGTTTACCATCATATCAGCATTCAAAACGTCATACCTGGAACGCCTAAACACCACATTAATATCCCTTACCAATCTTGCGACAAAACCACTGGCCATGCTTTTCAATGCGACATAATCTCATAATCTCTGCTTCTTCCTACGAAGGAACATCTCCACTACGCCACTCTTTTGTCCGTCTCTGCAGACGTTGCCTTCTCCCCTTCGTCGGGGTTTAGATAATTCGCATCTTCAGCTGCCTCGTACTCAGCAATTAGATCCGTCACTACTTCTCTGGCCTCATCGAATTCGTGGAAGTTCTCTGAGAAGGGTGCTGTCTTCTTGTAACTATCTATGAAAGCGTTGCGTTTCCGCATACCATCGTATTGGCGAACAATTCGTTTAAACAACTACGAGATTGTTAGTTGATAGGCTGTCGCTGAAATGCGCATTTAAAGAGACTTACGGTTGCGATGCTGGTGTGGTTAGCCAGCATCAGACCACTAACACGGTGGCTCATCGGGATATATGGACTGCGCTTTGTCAGAGCCACCTGTATACTTGCTGGGCCCCACGGTATAAACGTCGCCAATCTTCGTTCGCGAATTCGTAGTAGACTCTTGTGGACGTCTGTCGGGTCGACCTCGCCTTGGATGACATTGAGAATAGAAATGTAGCAACTCTTCTTCCCTGGTATAGTTGAGACCATACGATTCTTAGGTTGTAATAGTCGTCTCATAACATCAAGTACGGTGGTTTTACGGACCGTTTTAGCTTGTTCAACTTGATCTCCGGTGAAGGGGGTATATGCCGTCATCAAGAAATGGCAGCGAGGTGTGGGAATTAGCGATGCTAGAATGCTAACGAGATCGTTATGCATGTAACCGGGGTATCTCAACGTTGTTGTACTGGCCGACATGACTGTTGAGACTAGCTGGTTGGTTTGCTGGAATGACGGTTCTTGAACGTGCAACCTGTCTGCCGCGATATGAGACAAAGCTCCATTGTCTAAAACTACGACCGAGTCGGCATTTTGTGTCAGTCGCCTCATAGAGAGAAGACTGTTGTATGGGTGAACGACGACATCTCCCGAATTTGTGGTATCAGGGAACACCGAGTACGTCTGGATGATCTTTTTGGGGAACCTGTCGTTCATCCGTTCTAGGAGAAAAGAGCCTAAACCGGAACCTGTACCTCCAGCAATGGAATGAAGCAGCATGAAACCCTCAAGAGAATCACTGCCGTCTGCTTCGCGCTCTATCATCTCCATGATCTCCTCGTGGACGGCCTCGCCGGTCTGGTATCCATCACCCCAGTTGTTCCCTGCGCCGATGCCACTTTTACCGACGTAGAAGTTCTCCGGGTTGTAGATGTTCTTGTAGGGGCCAGTTTGTATACCATTGATGACGCGGGGTTCGAGATCTATTAGGATTGCTCGAGGAATATATCTCGTATCGTCACTCTGGTAGTAGAAGACGTCCTTGCGATCACCACCCTCTGTGGCGAAGTCTTCGAGGTTACCGTCTTGATTGATACCGTGTTCCTGGCATAGCTGCTGCCAAAACTGGCTACCGACTTGGGCGTGTCAGCGTGTATGTCCTAGCTGCAAGAGCTCTTGAGCTCTTGTCGGGATTCTGAATGGACATCAATCACTCACTGCTGTTGCCGCACTGGCCCGCCTGAATCGTAATAATTTCTCTTAAAAATAGTGTTAGATTGGTATAGGTATTGCCGGGGATATTTTGAGCTCGCCTACCTGGGCATTATCGCGACATATATTTTATTCCTAGGTAAGTTTGTAGACTTATGCTACGAAATTAATGGTCTCTTAACAAATGTCTTAACAAATGCTCCCTTGGAGCTTTAGGATATTTGATAACGGGTTGTCTTATCGACGCGTAGCGCGTATTAGGTACCTAGGTGCCTAAATTTGGCGGGGTTGTACTTGGAATACGGATAACCCTTTAAGTTTGCTTGTTCTACTGTTATATCGTTGTAACCGTATACATATATACTAATTTAACTTTAAACAGTATTTTATCCTTTTACGAATTACAAATATCACGTACCCACAATTATACGAAAGTTCTAATTTATGTACTCTAATTTAATGTGTAAGTCTTCACTTTTTTAATACATTTACCGGAGTGATTATTTAATACAAGCCGTCTACTATGGGCTCATGCAAATGGAATCTGTACCTACATGTACATATGTACATAGGTAATAATGGTATGACATTCCAACCACATGGCTAAAATGGAAACAAGTCTTAAAACGATCCATAGCTCCACAGCAACTCGGAGAATTAACCGAATAACCTAGTATTTCCTCATGTGAAACACTCATACATTGAAACAATTGAAATATCTTAGAATCCATCTTAAACAATAGGATCTCGGCTTCATTCATCATATATAGTTTTATAAGCTTGTGATAACCGAGATAATTATCGCCTTCTTCTTGCTTACTGTATCCAATTTCATGATCGCTGTTGCCTACCTAAGGTATATTTCGTTCTAACACAAACATCCTGAGCCTTACATCGCTTCGCTCCGCATGAAACATCAGGGTACAGCTCCGTTATGATCGTACTGTCCAATTAATAAAGCTGTGGACCAGTGGACCCCCTAAACCTGCATTACAAAACAGCAAATGCATGCATGTGATAACCTCCCGACCCCAACCTGTTGGTTCCTCTTGCCGCCAATGCAGCTATCGATAGGTACCATACCATGATCTTACCTTCCCGTTCCAAAGGCTAAATGGAAAGCAAGCGCAGTCAGCCTACATAGGCGGGAACTCATAGGCGGGAACTACCTCACCTGCATGCATATACCAAAGGTACATTAAGTACATTAGGTACATTAGGTACATAATACATACATACATGTAAGTGCCTAATTCTGTCTTGTACATATGAGTTTCTCGCGATCCTGCGCACATATGTATTGTACACACCGTTCCTCCATCTTCACATTCGTTCCATCTTCCGATCTAATACCTAAATCTTTATATATATCCCCATTAAACGTCATTGACCTAATGTACATCATATCGAATCCATAATTCGTTTAATTAGGACGCATTACTATCTCTTAGTAATTTGTTTAAATTGCCTTCATATGTATTTGCCCTCTCCACATCCAATTAAACCAAACGAATTTTCCAGTCCAGATAGGGGGAAGCGGCTTACATGAATCGAAGCCGTCTGTCGGGGGCCTTGTCGCGCAACGCGCTAATCTTAGACTTACCACGGCGCAACCTTCGAAGGGTGGGAGCCACACGCCTACGCCCACGCTCACGCTTATGCTCGGTCAACCATGCAGAGATCTGCTGCTTCAACACCGACGCAGAATGCGACTCCTTTCTTTTCTACCAATATCTGGGGGAACAGCAGCACCAATTCGATCCCCAACATACAGTCGCTATCGAGCCAAGGTGGTCGTAGCTCTAGTAGATCGCGTCCCGGTACCAGTTCGGGCGACAAAGATAAGGACAAAGAGAGGGAGTCTAACCTCTTAACTAAAGACCGCGATCGCAAACCTTCTTTTGGGCGCAAACCATCATTTTCTTCCCCCTCCAAGGGAAAAAGACGGGGAAGTTCGTCCAATGCAGGAACAGGAACAGGAGGCCAGATTAGAACCGACGCTGCTATACCACCCGCTATCCCCCCTGACTTTGCGCTTGCCGCCGCCGCCAGGTTGGCAAAGGAACCCGATATAGTATCCTCGCCGGCATCGACCGATTCTTTTTCCAAGATGATAGCCCGCACGGCACCAACGCCTATCAATGGCTATTATCCTGCTTCGACTACAACTTCTCCTCCCTTAATTCAAACCGAGATGCCCTCGCTTCACCAGCATATCCACGAAGTCGCTAATAAAAGGATATCAACTTTAGACTATCTACGCAAAGCGTATGTTCCTAGAAGAGGCCCTTCCTCCTTTTATTCCATCATGTCTCTTTGATCAGAAAGCTGATAATCTGTGCTAGTCATGAGGGTCGCGTCTACTGGTTCAACACGTTGCTTTTTGACAAGCCCGACCTGGCACGTATGCCTTATTTTGACAGCCGTAAGCTGGCCTATCGTGCTACCAACTATCTTCTGCTCGGCCTTTCACTACCAGCCGTCATGGACCTTAACTCAAGCACGTCGCTCGAGTTTCTTCGCTCTCTCAACACCCTACTCGCCGAGTTTGAATCCTACCAGCAAATCCATACCGAGAATGGCGTGAACACGAGTTCGCTTTCCCGCGCCCGCATACCAAATATGTTCCGCCGAGGACCTGGTGGAAGAGGCCGGAGGCAGTCAGGTGCTAATGATTTATATACCGAGACTAGCAACAATAGCCTAGCTAGCGGTTCGGCCGTGAACTCAATGCCTACGAGCGTTATCAACTTCGGGCTTGGTGGTGAGGGCAACGACCTTGTGCCTGGAGAGGAGTACACTCACCTCTTAACGCCGAACCTTCCTTTCGATCCCGACTTTTTTGAGACGTTTGCTACACTATGCGACGTATTAATCGATTGCTACTCGAGGCTTATGGCCCTTCTTCCTACAGCGAAAGACTGTACTCCTATCATTGCAGAGCTGTTTACCAAAGCTGATGCCAAGGTGCGCAAGATTATCATCCAGGGTGTGGTTAAAGAATTTGAAGAATCTAGCCGGACGGGCTTGAAACAGGAGATTGCTAGTGTGGGCAAGGTGGTTCTTGGCGGCTTGGTATGATGAGGATATATACGTAATAGTGGGTTTGTGTTTATTGGCTTGGTTGCTGTCCTGGTGTTTTTAGGATCACTTCCGGTTGAGGATACCAAGTAGCATGGGTTACAGGGCATAATGGCGTTCAAGTCTTTAAATGGGATATTATGCATATAATGATCACTAGTATACTACAATGTCTAACCATGGCGAGTATATAAATATAATTAGGCATTGCTGTCTATCATAACGACCGAGACTATGATGTAACCTAGACTACATATATAGAACTGACCTTTATAGAAAAAAGTGAGAACATGTCCATCAGATACCATAACGCATTTTTTGTCTTCAACGAACTAACCATTGGCTAGCCTCAGTGCTTGACTCTAATACTGGTTATCATCACATGAACTTCGCATTCGGCTAGCATTTGAGTTACCAAGATCCTACACGACCTTCGATCCAGAGCAACATAGACGGAGGAAAGGCTTCCCACGAAGCCCAGAGTTTGGGTTGTCTAGCAGTCCATCATGAAGGGAACCCCCTCGCACCAAGAATAAGCCCCATCGAGTAACCGAGCCACATCCTCAGGGAAGAAGCAGGGCAATCGCATAACTATCGATCTCGACAACAGGGGATCTGCACCTATCCTTCGCGCCCCCGGCCCGCTTAGTCCACGACCAACTGTCATCAACAAGCTCCCAGGCACTTGAACACCGAACCACCCAACTAAGAGCGCGGACTCATATCTTCGTCCATGAGGTCTCAAGGCCAGAAAGAACGGGCCAGCACACTGAGAAAACAAGTGATGTAGCGACAGGCGGGGCGAATTATAGCAGAACAAGGGACAGATAGGAAGACATAAGCCGCTGTGCTTCTATGGCGGCGCGTTTCCGCTTTCCTTCAGAAAGAAGGATGTCCGGGGACTTTCTCCCAAAGCATTCTAGAAGAGGAGACGATCAATCGTGGATCAAAAGTCTCTGTATGTAGCTTCGATAGCGATTTGTTGGGCGAGGGGGTTGTAGAAGAAGGAAGAAATTTTTATGAAAAAGCTGGACCGGAAAATAAAGTTTTAAAAGGTTTGCATCTGTTGAATATGACTAAGCAATTGAAATGGTGGGGTCAATCTAGCAAGATTACTGTCCAATCATACCTAGGTACCTAAGGTACATATGTAGAACCCGTCAAAGCTCTGACAAATATGTGACTAGTCAGCTTTAGGGAATGGCTAATGACCTGTAGCTTTTAGGTTGGTTGGTTACCTACCTACCTAGGTACCTACATGTAGGTAGGCTTAAGTAGGCGCCTGCAAGATTAAGCTTTTAGTTAGGTTAGGTACTTCCAGCACGCGTTTAACTTCACGTTAATGTCAAAAACGCTTCGTCTTCCATTCCGCATTCCGCATTCTGCATTCTACATTCTGCATAACAATAACGGCGCATCAAAACACCATACATTTATGCGTATTTCTATACAAGCTACTCAGTACCCATACGGTTTTCCCAGCGGTTTGCCTTCAGCTTTCGAAGCTATCATTGTTTATTCTGAAGGGTAGCCTCGTGCTGTATCTTCTATATTCTAGCCGCCGTCGCCATATTTACCAACCGCTATTCTTAAGGAATCACCAGAATTACATATCTATACGGCTGTAACGGCCAGCATCGTAATTCGAGATGTCGGGACTCTTCGGGAGCAGCGCTGCTTCATCAACTCCTGGCAACACTATTGGCGACTTAAAGAACGATGTTGCCCTGGCGAATCCCCCCGATGACACAATCTCGGACCTCGCCTTTTCGCCTACCTCAGACATCTTAGCCGTCTCAAGCTGGGACAAGAAGGTCCGTATATATCAGATTGCTGCCAACGGTACTAGTGAAGGGAAGCATATGTATGACCACGAGGCCCCTGTTCTCAGCGTAGACTTTTCTAAAGTAAGTCGATTTACATTACTGTTGCTATTATACTTATCGAATATCGTGTATTAATGCATGTCTTAGGATGGCAACAAGATTGTGTCTTCCGGTGCCGACAAGCAGGCCAAAGTCTGCGACCTACAGACCCTCCAGACGGCGCAGGTAGCCGCGCACGAGCAGACCGTCCGATGCGCACGCTTCTTCGAGCTACCCAACTCGAATGGACCAATGCTAGTGACGGGCTCGTGGGACAAGACCGTCAAATACTGGGACCTACGGCAAAGTACGCCCGTCGGATCCGTCACTTGCCAAGAACGCGTATATTCCATGGATGTGCGTAATACGCTACTGGTAATCGGCACTGCGGACCGCTATATCAACGTCGTCAATCTCCAGGACCCCCTGAAATTTTATAAGACACTTCAGAGCCCCCTTAAGTGGCAGACTCGTGTAGTCAGCTGTTTTACAGACGCTAGCGGTTTTGCTATCGGCAGTATCGAGGGTCGTTGCGCCATCCAGTATGTGGAAGACAAGGACTCAGGGTACGTCACTAGTTTAGAAAAAAAAAAAAAAAAAAAAAAAAAGATATCCTCTCTATTTTAGTAGGTTACTAACATACGATAGCTCCAATTTCTCATTCAAATGTCACCGTGACCCGCCTCAGGGTAACACGACGCAGGTGTACTCTGTCAACGACATCTCATTCCATCCACAGCACGGGACGTTCAGTACGGCCGGTAGCGACGGCACGTTCCACTTCTGGGACAAGGATGCGAAACACCGGCTGAAGGGATACCCTTCGGTAGGGGGCAGCATCACGGCGACGACGTTCAACTCGGGAGGCACCATCTTTGCATACGCGGTCGGATACGATTGGAGTAAAGGCTACATGGGTAACAATCAGAACTACCCCAACAAGGTCATGCTACACCCCATCCAGGGAGACGAGTGCAAGCCTCGTCCAAGCGCTAAAAAGCGGTAGAACGCCCACGGCTCAGGACGACACAAGGCGTGCATGCTGGATAAACAAGGTGATTGGAAGATGGAGGAGTAATCAGGGCAGAACAGGAGGAAGGCAGCTGTCAGCATGTTGTCGTGGCTGCTACTTGCCTACGCATATATCTAACAGATTAGTTTGCCGAGCAGGCGGATAATCAGAATGCGGCTTATACGGCCCCGAGTCTGCCTCGCAGGAAATGGAAAAGGAAAAAAAAGAAGGAGAAGTTGTAGGAATATGGCCGTTGTAGAGATGAGTGGGCAGGCGGACGACACGATACCATGTGACTTTATCTACGTAGGTGGACAGAGATAATAAAGAATACGCCTTTATTAATGCATAGTACCTAGGTACTCCTCAGTTCTATATAGGGTGTTGTGGGAAAGACGAGTGCGCTTGTCTTCCCAGGTCCACCCTATCGATGTTCATGCCGGTTTATATTATTTCAGTATATCTTCTTATTTGCCTTCCCGGGAACGTCCCTCTTATCTCCATCAGAAACAGATTTTAACTCATTCGCCCAGGTGGATACCTACGATACAATGCCTCGTTGCTCAGCCCTTCAACGTGGTCCAATAGGGAACTTAGTGAACTATGTGCAATACGACGCAACAGAAAGGTTTTAGGCAGGCTGCGTTGACAAAAAATAATCATTCAAACAATATCCAACCTCAACAAAATTTTGTTCCCCGCCAGTCGAGAGTCACGAAAACCACTCTACCGAATATTTCGGAGCGAACTTCACGAGTACTACCAAATACGATGGAACAGTCTGACAAGACGGTCGCAAGACAGCCTGGGTTTCACGACGAGAATTTAAAGGAGATAAAGCAGAAAATGGATAAGGTGCCCGACCGCCTACCCTTTCCTGGTCGTCCCGTCTGCCATCGCTGTCAGACTCTACTACGGGGTGAAGCAATCCCAAACAGGCACAGGGTACACAAATACAGGGTAAACAGGTACAAGGTAGAAAGACGAATCCTGCCGTTACCCAAACCCCACGAGCAGCTCAAACCCCCAAGCTGTCGTATCTGCTACCTTCTTGCTGACATCAAGCACTCGTCATTATATGCAACATGTCGCGATGAAGCATTCCTTAGCAGTAGCCCTGAAGGCATACTCAAAGTGTCTCGAGGCAAACATGGTCCCTGGGGTATAGAACCTTATTTTAATTTATTTGGATGGCTACGGGAATGTTTGTTGTATTGCCATCAGTGGCATGCCGATGTCTGTACTCGACCAGCATTTCCCCCAATGTCTCGCCTCCGAGTAATTGATTGCGAACAACAAATAGTTATTTTCGCACCTGCGGTATGCAAGTATGCAGCCCTTTCATATGTTTGGGGCGATAACCCAACCCATGTTCCCACCCCAAACAAGTTTTCACAGGTGGTTGTCGATGCCATCGAAGTCACCTTATTGATGAAACTTCGATACCTTTGGGTTGACCGCCATGTAAGCCACATCCTCGTACTTTATATATAACGACTCAGTTTCACTTATAAGCCCCAATATGACAGTGTATCAACTCGAACGACGAAGCAGACAAACATCATCAGATCTCTCAGATGGGCAATATCTATGCCAATGCAGAAATCACAATCATTGCTGCTGCAGGAACGGACCCTACCTACGGTCTTCCCGGAATAAGCAGGCCCCGAAAACAACATCCAGATGGATTTCCTTATCTCAGCCATCAAATAAAGGAGTCCGTCTGGGCAAGCCGTGGTTGGACTTATCAGGAAGGGTTCTTATCACCAAGAAAACTTGTCTTCACCGATTATGAAGCCTCGTACCTCTGCGATACAATTTGCTTAGCTGAGCATGCTCAAGACTCAATGTCCATAATGGCAAGAGGTGTGGATGATCGTCTTAAATCATTTACGCTATCTTACTCCGAAGATGACAAAATAATATATAAATATAACATGTACAGAGTCCACCAAATGATAATCGAATACAGCCGAAGACAACTAGGTTACCCTTCAGATGCACTACATGCAATAAAGGGCGTTATAAAGCTCCTAGAAATCAAAGCGTTTACATTAATTTGGGGAATTCCCATACATTACAACCTACCTATGATACACTGGTACCATGAACATCCAACTGAAAGACGCCCTGGCTTCCCCAGCTGGTCATTCCTCGGCTGGAATGGCCCCATTCAAGTGCACCAGATTCCCACCAGATACTGCATACATTTCAAAGCATCGTTAGGAGATGGAGAAAACTTACTTTTCGGCGGAAAACGCATGGCTAGCATTGCTAGTGAACTAAGGGGACTTGGGGAAAATGCACCTCGATATTTGCACCTGACAGGCTATGTAGTTGATCTGCCACTTAAAAACATCCAGCAGACAAAGTCAGTACAGAACTCAGCTCGAAAGATGATCTGTGGTCACCAAGTCATACCAGTACAGGATACAGCACCTTCCAGCGGAATATATGCGTCTCTAAAGATGCGCCCCGGCCTTCGCATCCTAGTTAAAACCAATATTGATGAAAGCAATTTTACGGCGTGCCACGTGCTCGGATTCTTTATCGGAACAGATCTAGAGAAGGATATTGACCCGTCAAGTCGTGCAGATTTCTTGCTATTAAGACGTAGCGGCACGTGCTATGAAAGGATTGGTTATTTAGCGTGGCGGTTGCGCCGATTTTCCAACACATTTTATGACTATGGGGATTCCGTATATTTCATAGAATCTGATGATGTATCAGATGAAATAATAGAGCTTCCTAGGACACCATTGTGGGCGGGGGAAGCTGAAAAGCGGACTGTTGTGGTAGGGTAACTTTGGGAAGTACTAAGAGGGTGTTTACCAGGCTATCGTATACAACAAACTACTTTAGCACTTAAATAATAGCTTTTAGGACATCTCTAATAAGAATTATTGTACAAACGTTGCTATAACGATATGTCATATAATAATAGAAAGGTAATATTGAGTTATTATTTAGGGATGATCATAAATGACGTTGACGTAAGGCTTTTAATTATACATCGTCCTTGTGAAACTCTTAGCTAGAAAGCAAATCACTATAAAGTATTTAAAGTAGTTCTTCTTATAACTACGAAAGTAAACAGGGGCTGCAGAAAAGAAATACATATATCGGTTAACATATTAGCATAATTTATAATACAAAACTACAATCGTAGCCATGCTTAATAATATTTAAAGGCGTAATAGTTACATACAATGTACGAATAAACACACAGTAGAAAAATCTAGAACTTTTACACCTTAGCAATTATTAGGCATTGCTAGGTAGCTGTTGTAAGGAATGCGAAAGAAAGTTGCTTATATATCATGTTAAAAGCTCCTCTTATCACTCCTGATTTCTAATGCCTGGTCAAAATGGCCATGTCCTTGATAGTTAGAGATGTGATGAGAGTAAAAATAACCTTTCGGCGTTTTTTAACGGACTGGGGTTCGAACCTGCGGCAGGGCGGCAAGAAGGCCAACTTATTCAGGTCGAATATCTAACAGTTCACCGTGAAATCCTAGGTTTTGAGCCCCTTTTCACTTTTGTTAGTTCTTCTATTTTAATCCTTCTTTCCTTATCTAATAACCTATGATTTAAATAATTTTCATCGCTAAAGTTCCTACGACTATATATCCACTTATAAGAGTTGTGCTACCCACTACAGAGTACTGGGTTACGTATTAAAGCATCTTCATAAAGGTCATTGATTAAGGAGCGAATACTCAAATACTATCTCAATTGTCTTCAACGAAGTTGTATAACTATGTGAAATTACCGAGGTTACCTTTGTTGTGTTTACAGACATACAATGGTTTTCTAGATTTGGTATCATTCACTGTATTCAAAATCATAGTAGAATAGATGAAGTAAAGACGGTCTTGGTTAAAAGTGAAACCTAATATGGAAATCCACCAAGCAAGCATCAACAATTTAATATTCAGGTACGCAGTGTTGTTAACATAGTTCCTTGCCCAAGTAATATATTCAATGACCAAAACTGATGCTTCATTCACACATTATCAAGCGAGGGGAATAGTACCCTATTATTTCTAAAATCCCTTGAAAAATTTAGCGATATGCCAGCCGATATTAAACCATTCGAGGACTTTCCCCCACCATGTCTTGGGTGGTTCTGGCCCTGTGCCCGTTGCCTCCTCGATGGGTGGGGATTCTGAGATAGGATGCTTTGGGGTGAAATGCTGGGAATTGGGGATGCTTGGAGTAGACTCGACTGATGGTGGGGGTTGTACCTGCAACTGTCCAGTAGGTGATGTTGGTAAGTCTTTTGTAGTAAGACTTGGAGTTAAGGGGGGGCCGAATTTGACTGGGACGACGGCGCGATCTCCTTCAATTCTGATTCTAGTCTTCACCGGGTCCACCCTCAGCACTTTAGCTGCCTCCGTTTCTGCCATTGGGATGCCACTTTCGAGCTCTTGAACAACCTGCAGCTTTATCTCTTTCGTCTTTGCGTAGTGTTGCCGGACCAACCGTCTAAGTTCCTTACCCCTTTTTTGGGAATGACGCCTTCTGTTTAGGACGAGTCCGTAGCTATCGACAGATCCTTTGCCTTCTGGAAAGCCGTGATGATACACTGTGCCTCCAGAGTAGCGACCCGGTGGATCTAGGATCTGGTTTAACTCCTCGTGATGGAGAAGTTCTGGGACCCTCTCCCAAGCCTCTTCAAAATCATCTGGACTCCATGAATCCCACTTGTTGGTCATGATTATAATATTTTGGAAGAATTCCGGGCCACAAAAACATTGGACCCATTGGATGGTCTTCAGGTCCTCGGTTCTCAGTCGGTTTTCTATCTTGCCGTAGAGGAAGATAAGCCCGGCAACTGTGACAAAGGGACCAAGAGCCTGTAAACAGCTCATGATATCTTCGTAACTGGCTGTATCGTCCATATCTGAGGCACCAAACCCGGCCGTATCCACGAAGATGTATTGTTCCCCGTCAATGATAGCCGGACATATTTCGTACTTTCGGGTACCTGTAGTACTACATTAGTATTTGTAGATTGATACGCGGGAACTTCTAGTATATAGTTACCTGATTTCCAAGTATACCCTATCTTCAAATCCAATCCAGTCAGCTCACGTAGGATGGTTGACTTCCCCGTTCCCGTTTGGCCGACCACGAAAATCAGCTTGGTTCCTTTTAGACTGCAACAAGATTAGGATCATAACCTCTTTAACATGAGCTCCATAGCATAGACGTACTACTCCTTGACGAAACTAACGACGGGCTTTGATGCTGCTCCTTTGGCAGCAGAGACTGTTTTCATCAAATTTTTGTAGGCCCACTTCTTCCAGCTTTTTGATCTTTTACCGCCATTACTACCCGGTGTGGAAGTTGCCGGCTCAACAGAGCCATCCTCATTGTCAGAGGTGTCAGATTCATTATCTGAGTCGCGTTCGCAGTAGGTGTCCCTGGGTAAATCTTGTGCGGTCGCGCGAGGGTGCTGGACGTTCTCAAGGGCTGGAGCAAACTCATTCCCTCGAATATGCTCTCCTGTGGTAGTTGTCATGGTCATATTGAATATGATGTTAAGATTTTGGCTCTTAGTTCTTGGAGAGGGGGTGATCTTCAGAAGCGGGCTGCACTTTAATATTCATGCCTTGGGGGGGGGGGGGGGGGGGGGGGGGGGTATTGGAGGCCCGTATTTATTTAAATTATAATTTTGATGTGCGTTTGGATATTTTGGGTTTTTTTTTGTTTTATGAAAAAAATTTAAATAAGCTAAAGGAAAAAAAAAAAAAAAAC